TAGTCTTACAGAATGATATTACAATCAAATTTACTACTAACAGAACTATCAATTATATACATTGAGTCGAGGATGCAGAATTTGCCATTTTTTGTAGGAGAATGGGCACTTCAACATAATCGTCCTCTGCTTTCATTATCGAGAGCAAAAAGTCATGAAAATTTTTCTTAAAAGCTCCTTTGGAGAGTTGACGAAATTCGTTAGGAATTGCGTTCCAAAGTTTAGCTCCAAACCTGGAAAAAGAATCTTGATTTAGATCCAGTCTTGAATAGAAACAAACAACAACATGTATCGTTATTGGTCTTCCTTGACTTGAGCTCTGCATTCGATATGATCGATCACATGATATTGCTTCGGCGTCTTGAGGATAAATTTGTATTTTGTAGAACTGCATTGGAGTTCGTACCTGTCGGGCAGATTCCAACAGTTTGTTATAGACGGTGGAACTTCTAACAAGTTTGACATCGACTTTGGTGTACCGCAGGGTTCAGGCATCGGTCTATTATTGTTTTCCATCTACACGAGTCAATTGTTCGACATTGTCAGTCAACACTTACCCACAGTGCATTGCTATGCCGACGACACGAAGCTGTATCTGGCTTTTCGACCGGGTGATCGTGCCCCTCAAGATTCGGCTGTTGCTGCAATGGAGGCTTGTATACAAGATGTACGGGAGTGGGTGATCAAAGATAAGCTCAAGATCAACGACGATAAGTCGGAGTTCATTATTATTGGAACTCAAGCGCAGTTAAAGAAGGTGGATATTGACAACTTGGCTGTAGGAGACTCTTGTATATCCCCCAGTGCAGACGTAATTAGAAACTTGGGTGCTTGGTTTGATGTCAAGTTTAAAATGAACACGCATGTTACAAAAAATTGCAAAACAGGTTTCTTTTACCTCCATAATATCAGCAGGATAAGAAAATTCTCAAGGAATCACGGAGAATTTAATACATGGGTTCGACTAGCCGCCTCAACTATTGTAATTCTCTATTGTATGGATTACCTAATTGTCTTATATCTAAAATGCAACGCGTTCAAAATGCTGCCGCAAGACTGGTATATAGAGCACCCAGATATTGTCATATTACCCCTTTGTTGACGGATCTTTTTTGGTTAAATGTTAAGCATAGATTTAACTTTAAGATAATCCTTATAGCCTATAAGGCTATTTATGGAACAGCAGCAGAATATATCAAGAATTTAATCTCTCAAACAGAACTCCAAATATGGACTATGATCTAATAACACAATCCTACTAACATCATTAGCTATAAGAACCTTGCCAACTCTTGGTGACCGTGCGTTTGCTGCTGCTGCCCCTCGTCTTTGGAACTCCTTGCTAATAGATATGAGAGGAGCACAGTCTTAATACTTCCAAGAAAAAGCTCAAGACTCATCTTTTTAGGATCGCATCTTTAAATTAGTATTTTACATTTTAAAACTATTACTAGCTTTTTATAATTTTTAGCTTATCACATAGTTTTGTATTTATTTGTTTTTAGATATTTTGACTGTAAATCGCCTTTTTAAAAACGTATGTTGAATTTCCGCTGTATAAATAAATATATTATTATTAGCATTATGGTCGCCATGTTGTGACGTCACGTGTTTATCAAATCTGATAACCATCCCGGAGTGATGGTTTACTAACTGAAAAACTTCGGCAGGTCGAATTTAACACTTTTGCCTGAAGCTTTTTAATGTTAATGCAGAATCTGAAAGTGAAATGTTCGGAGAAATCCGGGTGAATCTCGTGACTTATAAAAGCACTCAAGCTTTTTCACAAGACAATTAGAAAACAAACGGTTCAAAGCGTTTGTTTTCTGACTGAACGACAGCCGAATCACAGGAACATGAAGATTGTTCGAGGTCACAGCGCTCTAAAACTCGGCTGCTGTGACTGAGAAGGCCTGCCACTAGAGGCATCAAAGTGCGGACGATGTAATTTCTGAGGCTTGCTTCCTTGCGATGTCACCTGAGATTGCCTTGATGAGAGTGATGGACCACAGCACTATGGCAGTCGCTCTGATACCGTCATGATTTGTATAAATTTTGACAGCTATTCAAGTTTGGTTGTATTTTTCATAATTCCTGTTTGGTTCTGTTTTGTTCTTAAACACGAAATAATCCATACTATACGAGTGTCAGCTGAGGTTGAAGTTTTATTTCCGTGCGTAATCTTACGATGTAACTGAGCTTTACTCCGACAGTCCATTAAGTTTTTTCTTCAGTGATTTTCGTCTCCGCTCATTTTATGGCAATGTTAATTACTGCGCTTGACATGTTTAAAAACTTTTGTTTGGTTCTTCTTTTGCTACTTGCCGGCTCGCTTGTTACGAAATTTAATTTCAGTGAACGAAAAAAGCTATACATAGAGAAGTCCGAGCCGATGGACAGACATTGTACAAATTTACAGATAGCGGGACAGATTTTGCTCAGCTCCGTGTTTTTTACTCTGATAAAACACGCTCTTCCAACCAATGATAGTGGGTGTTATATCCGAACTTTATTACCAAATAGGTTATAACATTCTTCTGCAGAAACTCTTTTGGAGAAACCGACTGGATCAGGCCTTTGGTACTGGACTATCTTTAAAGAAAGTAAAGCCGGAGCAGGGGTGAGTTACTTGATTTTGATAGCCCATGTCGTGAAAACGTGTATTATTAAACATTAACTTTGTCGCTACCAAGTACATCTATGCATATTTTGTAATAGTAATCCCCACTTACCAAAGAAATCAAGGTAGAGGTTAAAAAAAATTGGAAAATGAAGTAAAGGATTGGCGGTTGAAATCCAAATAAATGTGGACCGGGGGTTTTGCGAGAGAAAACATGAGCCCAGAGAAACCAGCACATGCCCAGGTGATGTACACTAGGTGGTTTAAAACTTTTGTATCTCAAGCCTCTAGGTTTTTTTTTTTTTAATAGTATCTCTTTATTGCGCCGTACTCTCCAAAGGGAGATGTTAGTCTACTTACAATAAAGTTCAATAATACAATATGAATAACATAAAACGATAACTTTACCATATCCGAATACAATACGTTGATTGAAAAGCTATTACTGCTAAATTACATTTGTGCATTGAGACTTTGATACATTAAATGAGGAACTATGACAAAAGTGAAAAAAGAAAAAGAACGTAAGGAGTATTGTTTGAAGTGTTTTGGTGAGAGTTTCACTGTTGGCAGGTGTACCACTAAGTTTTTTATTTATTTACTTTTTTATTATTTAAATTTTGTTTTTATTTTATTTTGTATTTTTTAAAGAGAGTTGAGATATTTTAACCGCATTTGTCAGGAGCTAGTTATTGACGGTATTTTCAATTAGGTCCCTTTGGTGAACTGCATTCACAAAGTCGTGGAGGACAATGGGCTTGTTGTTAAGTTTACAACTATAGATATAATAACGCATGAATAGTGTGACGTAGTCGAATTTCTTGGTGGTACTATTCTCGTTTAAGTTGGAGGTAATTCGAATAAAAGTTCCTCCGTAGTTGGAGAGAACTGTGAATTGTACGTTGTGTTAAACCACCGAATGACTTTCTGTATGAATGATTTCGTAAAGGGACAGTGAATAAAGGTGTGATCGATTGAGTCTTTTTCCCCACAAAAGCAGCATTCTTCGTCAGTTTTAATACCATATTTGAATAGTTCTCTCTTTGTCACCACGATTCTATGAATAAACTTAAATTGAAATTCTTTTAGTTTTGTTTCTTTGCACAGCTTTCGTATTGACTTAAATATCTTTGCCCATTTTTCATCATTCAAAGAAAGTATTTCGCTCCATCTTTTAGGACCTGCCTGACCTCCAGTGTGGATTTTAGCAACTAAAAGATTATAGAAATCCCTTGATTTGGCTTTATCAAGGTTGAGCGTGAAATTTCAGTTGAGGTGAAAAAGATGATCATTACTTGTGAAAAACTGATTATTAACTGATTCTATTTGTCTTGCTTTCGACCGTAACCGGTCAGGTATGGCACTAATAATCTGAAAATACTGGAGGAAGTTTGTCTTGCAAGAAAACTTTCCTTTAAATTCCTGGAATGAGAGATAGCTACCATCCTCCTTCAACAAGTCTTTAATAGAAACGATTCCCTTCTCCATCCAGTTGCTGAGATAAACGGGTGTTTCATCTACTAGAATTTCTTTATTATTATACAGTACTACATCACTTTCCTGGTCGTAACCGTAAAGTATTTCAAGCCTCTAGGTTACTCATACCAATGATAATATCCCATGGATTTGGTCCAGGCATGTATTGTACTTTTAGTTAAGATAAGACACATCTTATATGCAAAAAAATTGAGCTGAAGAAAAAATAGTCACCTAGAATAAGAGAGTTTTGTTTTACCTTAGGACCTATAATCATATCAATCAAGAAGTAAATAAGCAACATTTTCCTTTATTTGTTATGGTATTGGAAAGAAATATTTATAAGAGCAATAGAGAACTTCTTTCATATTTTTGTACTCTCATCTAAACACTCGATTTCCTTCTCAGATCTGTTGTGTCAATTTTTCAACAAATTAGCACGAATTAATTCTTTAGGATGAACTTCATCAATTCTTCATTCAGGGCAAATATATGCCGTCTGCGATGTTGTTAACAAGAAGGAGGAACCAAAGAACTGGTTAATGACAGAGTTCATTAACATCAAGGATGCTGCACGGCTTGATGTTGAAGTGACCTATACCCTACGTAACTGCCCCTTAGCTAACGTGGGGCCATTCTGCAGAACAAACTTCTCCCTGTATTCTTATCATACTGATTACAAATTAAATCCAGATCCAAAACCACTAAATTTCCACAAAGAAACTGTTATAACTCCAAAAACTCTACCTGCGCCTGGGGAGCACGCAACAAACATATTTTATGGGTCAGTTTTTACAAAAAATGAAAGGGAATTTATTTAGCGCTATTAGACCAAGGAGCTTGCCTGAGAATAAGAAAATTTGCTGTGAGATATCGTTTCTGCTCTGAAACGGTCCCTTCCAAAATGGTTAGATTTTCAAGAACAGTTGCTCCAGCAAATGACAGCAATTTAACCAAACAAGAAGGAGAATGTGCAGATCCTAACTCGATTACGAAAAACAACAAAAAGTTATTTGGCGTGCGCCTTAGTAATGGGGAGTGGAACATTACAGATAACTTAGCCTGCCTTTGCAATTATGGCTATGAACTGACGAATGGATCTTTCACATGCAAAGGTTAGTGCTGCACTTAAAAACCTGGATATGCCTCCGAAGCGTTGGGTCCAAAATTTAATCATTTAAATAAACATCTAAATGACCACCCCGTTTATTCATCGTTTGATAAAAAGCTTAGAGAAGCTTCGATGCATAACTTACATGAAAATGACCGTTTGGTCATACGTTACATGTTCATATAAATTCAAGCGGTGGACGTAGATAAATAAATCTATATTTATGAGAAGTGCAGCTGTGCAGGGAGATAAGTTGAATTTCGACCTGGGCTACGAAGAAAAATGCAAATTTTCGAATTCATAAATTCTGCCCCCCCCCCCACCCCCCCATTTGTCAATTTTTGTGTCTCGACTCTTCATTTTATTTTTTGGTTTTGCAAAAATACGGGGTATTGATTTTAGGGTCTTCGTTTTCGGGTCTTTGTTTTCATGTCTTGTTATTTAGGTCTGAAAACCCCAGGTTAGAGGTTGCATTAAATTTATAAACGCATGTTGTTCAAGAACCTGAATGATGGCCATTATGAGAGTCATAAGGTGAAGACAAAAAGAGTTGTCTGGGTATCCAAGCCTCTAGAGATGACTATTGCCAAGGTTATCAAAATGTGTCTCAGATTCTGTCAAAGACAGTGGTCATTTACATGGCAGGAATTTTTTGCCTAAAAAGCAAGTTAGAGGGTCATTATATTGATGTGTTCTGAACAGGAGAATATCAGTTGATATTCTCTTGGTTCTGAAGGAAAGGCATGTCGATGAAATTTTACATTGTTTCATTTTAGAGTGTCAGAGAGGCTTCTATAAGGATTCTGTTGGCAACGCAAAATGTGTACCTTGTCCTGCAAATTCAGAATCTAATACTGACAGAACTGGTTGCACGTGTAAAGAAGGTTACTACAGATCATCTAGTGTGGTAGATTGGGAAGGTATATATTTATTAGTGATTGGTCTTGTCCCAATCATTATCGATTGATAAAAGTCCTAAAACTTACAGAGTATCCTTTCGATTTTGTCCAGTATAATTTCAAAATGTTCAAAGTAACACAAGGCTCTCTCTTAATGCTTAAAACATCGATTAAAATATATGTGTAATTCCTTCCACCACCAACGCAACAACAGCATAGTCTGTTTTGGCCATGAGAGAAGTTTATTCTCTAGAATAATAGAATTGGACCGAACTGTGACAAACAAGGAAGCGAAATCTCTCTGTCACCTCACCTAAAAGACCTTGGCAAGAAACGGGTGGGTGGGCGGGAAAAACAACATCACTTGACAAAACACTGTTCACGCTACGAAAGCCCTTGCAAAACTGAAACCTTGTACTGTGACCGATGAAGAATAGAAAAAGGTGTATCGCGTGGCATGTGGCAATTTATCCCTTTGCGTAATTGCGTCCAAAGAGAGAACATCTACCAACGGTTCGATCAAGATGGCTGTATATTGGCCGAGTTCCTTTTTTTTTCGTCTCGGTCCTGAAAACACAGAAAAAATAATGAGGGTAATATCCAGCCATCTTGACCGAACGAGCTCGGTAAATAAAGTATTTATTGTATCAAGAAAAAAGGTTTCGTTTTGATCAGAAACAAGAATGACTAATTTTTTTCGGGAGCCGAGAGAGGAAGCCGACTGTGTCTGTGGCACAATCAACCCACGAGGGTTGATGATGTTTTCTTTTTTTTGACTCTCTTCAACCGTTTTTTGCGACTTCATCGCCGACATTTTCCAAAGATAACCGCTCCATGCACTTCTTTTGCTTGTGCTGGATCAAAGCAAGCAATCCCTAGCGGGTTTGGGTGGCCAATCGGATCACAGGACTCGCTTCAGCGATATAAAAGAAATGTTATTATGATAAAGTTACGCGTGTAAATGTAAGAAAGAAACCAGACTAGTGTAGCCAAGGACCACTCTTGATAGTAAATTATGCCTATATAATTCTTGTAAAAGCTGATTAAGAGGTGGAAGGGCATGCTTCCCCTGAAAACTTTAAAAAACACAGTCCTCTTTGATGCCATCCTAACATATTAAGATCAAAATCAATTGCAAATTTTCTTGGATAACCTGAGTGTTAGATCGGCTTTAACCACTCTGTGAAAGCTATCTGCTCTTGGTCCCTGTTTACACTTTAGATAATGGAGTTTAGTTCAATGCGGGAAATGAAATATTAATCATGATATGATTTATTTGTGTCTAATTGAAGTGTCATTTGATTCACATGCACAGTCGTGGTAAAAGTACTGATAAACATAACCATGGTCATCACCAGTGAAAGTTGTACTGATGGAAAATACGACATATCCTCATTACTGACGAGACTCGAAAAAGTGGTAACCATTTTATTTAAAGCACAATTTATATATTTATTTATTTTTTCTATTTCTGCCATTGCAGATCATGCAATTGTAATTATAGTTTCGGTTGTTAATGTTCAGTGAACATTTATATGTTTACCTGATTGTGTGTCGGTCTTTAAAGGTGCTTGATGAACTCCTCGATCTCATGTTCAGTTTGCTGTTGTTTCCATCTACAGATGGAAGAGGCTTTTGCTGGGAGATTTGCAGGTTGCAACGGTGTGCAGTTGAAAAGTGGCACTAGGTTTGCAAACTTCCTGGATCAGCAAATGAATTGTAATTTTCTGGTTTCTAATGCGCTCTACTTTATTCTGACCCTCATATTTTGTCTTAATCAAGGTGTGGAGATGCAACTCTTGGCCTACTACTTAAATTCAATTCCAAAACAAAAGAGCAAGATGTTATAACAGTACTTCGTAATGCTGCCAAAGATGGAAAGCTTGGAGATATTAATGCGAGTGTAACGAAAAGGACAAGATCGCAAGTTGATTTCGACACTGGAACTACTGAAGCAGGCACAGTAACGCTCTCTGGCTGTAGGTTTTAAGTCTTTTGGTACATGTAGACTCTGTAGTTAATCAGTAGCAAAATCAAAGGAATCTTTATCCCTCATATGCTCTCCAGTGAAGTGGTTAATCAGAGAAGGGTTTAATTACAAGTATGTTCACCATCTATTTGGAACATTCTTCTTATGTATGGTGCCCATGTTAAAGTACTTTGTTGTATTGATTTTTTTAAAACATCATACAATGCATTTTAATGTTTCATTCTGCATGACGCCACAAAAGCTATGGGCAGCAAGGTGGGGAAGGGATATGCCCTTGGATCTACTATGATATAAAACAAACAAGCAAAACAATAGCGTAAACAATAACGCAAGGCCTTTGTTTCTTAACTAAGCCAGCTAGTGAGCTGGAGCGATATTCCTTGAGAAAGAAAGGGCACAAGATCTCATCCAATAAAAATCAACCCGTGCACTTTTCAGTACTACTATTACATATTTTTTTGCTACTGCAAGCAAATGTCGCGAGAACGATTGGCCTCCTTACCGATGTGGTTAGCATTTGTTTCTGCCTGACCTTTACATCAACTTTGCCAAGTAATAAATGGTAGTTGCTCATATTTCCGTGAAATAAAAAAACTTGTATTATAATAGTAAAAAATCTTGCTAAGAAAGTAAAACAATTGAAATCAGGACCCATCGTACATTACATTATATTTAATTCTCACAAATCATGCGGCCCTGATATAATAGAGAAATGATTGAGAAAACACTTCTACGTACACGTATGTACTGTATACAGACTGCTTGAATCATAGAATTGCAACCTCGACAAGTAAATAAAAAAAGCTTTTATTGGCTGTGGTGCAGTGTATACATAAGAACTTTCATATGTTTTGCCGGCTTGTAATTCTGATTGTTTCTGAAACGTCATAAAGAGTAAGTAAGGGAAGGGTACTGGTGGAATGCCTGTAATTTAGCTCTCATACTAAGTTGGACTTCCTGTGGGTATCAAACTCACAGTTTATTAGGCTTTTGAGTAATTTGACGTAAATTGAATAAAAAAAGTTGTACGCTTAGAAAAAGGCATCATGACTAAAATGGTTAGGCGGAGGATCTCAAACATATAGTTTTTGGAGGCATATATTGATATGTTGTTCTTCTCATGTTTTCCAGTTGCCAAAGGGATTATTGTTGGTGCGGTGGTTGGATCAATTTCCACACTGGCTGTTGCTGCCGGAATATTTGTCTTTTTCGTATGGAAGTCAAGAAGGCGTAATAGCAAGAACTCAAATGGTAAGAGTAGTATTTAAAATGCCAACTTTGGCCCACAACAGGAATCACGTAGTATCAAGCAACCAAGAACAGTTTGTGTTCATTGTAGCCTCATTTAAAAACAAGGCAAGTTTGAAGATTTCGAAACAGCTCTAACAAATCCCTTTTTTCAAAAGGAAAAAAAGTTGTTGTCGTCCAATTTAGCAGTAAAAGACGTAACGAAATTATTAGATCGATTACAAACTTATTAACTTAAAATGAATCCTTCGTAAGTCTCAAAGCCTCAGCGTGTTTAGGTAAGGCTAGGTGAATACAGCAAATCTCCTTTATGATCTCTTGCATTTATAAAATACACACACTTCAAAAAATTTACGACCGTGATTTTATGCTCTCATTTGACCGGGTTCTATCATTTTGTAAGTTTATTTATTGCCCAGGATTTGTTGATTGCTTTCTACTTAAATTACCCATGTATAAAATTAAATAAATGTCAGAAGACATCATTCTGCATTGCATTTGAGTTAATTTTAGCTTTCTCATTATATTCTTGTGGAGCTGGTTTTTCTTTGTTATCTTCTCAGTATACTTTTTTTCATGTTTTTCATATTTTGTTCTTTCTGATCGTCTTGGAAACAGAAAAAAGAGAAAGGTGAGATTTTAATAATGATTAAGTATCGTCTAATCTCATGTCTTGTTTTTGTTACTAGTTGCAAACTGTATACTACTGTGAATTTGTGTTATTTTCAAGAATGGATTATGATAGTTACGCTCAGAACAAGGGCTTCATCTATAGTCAATTTCCTAGAGCATCCTTAACGTGATGACTTTTGGACTACTCACGAGACCTTTTGAGTGTGGGCTATCCAGGTATAATGATCTTATCTTAGAGCTAGTCCACTTAATGAAGCCACAGATGCCTAGCTCTTAATGTTTATGAAACCTTTTTATGTGTCAATATACAGCGCAAAATGTGACATGCCGTCACTAATCATTTCATGACTAACACTCATGGAGTACCCAGAGGTGTGCTTTCTCAGTTGAAAAAATCTTCAAAGTGTTTCATCCGATTGAATTCAGATTCGAGAGAAAATATGACATTCTTTTTTTACTTTTAGGACAAACAGAGATACAACTGAAGAAATTGGACTTGATGTAAGTCGCTTAAAGATTTGAACTCTTAACCTTATTAGGGTACGATACAGTACATCATTGTTTTTTTCCAAGAGGGCACGGTAACGAAACCTTCAATTTAATTGGTTCGTAGCGTAGTAAGGATTTTCCTACCTCTGCCAATGGGCACAGTAACGCATTCGTTGGTCGTGGAGTACATTCCTGGCTTCGTTGCAAATTTTTTCACAAATATATGTTGTTTTACCGGCTAGGCAGCATTTTCAAGCACAGACTTTGGTCGAGATCTCAGGCCGTGCATTGATTAATAATTATTTGCTCCCTCTTTCTCAAATCAATTTGGTTGCCTGGATTGCTGTTATAAAGTTTGCCCAGAGTCTTTTAAATTACCGTTATCATTACGTAAATAGAAATGTTTCGGCGAAGCCTTAACCTTTAATTTGTTTTCTCTACTTTCTACTCGCTGAGAAATTGTTGAATTTATGGAGGATCTTGCCTTAAGTACAAGCTCCCATAAGTTTAAGAGAAAAAAAGGGCTATTTATAGCCTGCATTGTAACTCGCCATAAGAAACGTATGGCGAAAGGTTGTTTTGATGTCCAAAAAAGCAATTTTTGCGAGAGATTATAGCTTTTTCGCCGCAGTTTTATTATACATGGATAAAGATATGTTGATACGTGGTAAGTGTAAGTTTTTGCTGGAATTACCATGAAATGTTTTTAAAAAATACCGAAAAACTCCTCTCCTTGCGTAAGGTCTATTGTGAAATCGTCATCGCTTAATGGTCTCGAAATATTACAAAATTAGCCAGGAATCGTCAGGAAATAACTCATTTAAGTCTTTTCAGTTGTATTTATATATGTACAGCCTGTTTTCATGCTTGTTAACGTATTTAAATTAACAAATTACGACGTTTGAAAATATATCTCCCTTAAGGAGAGAAGTCGTTATCCAAAAGATGGAGTTATTTTTACGGAGCTGTTGTTCTCTGAAAGGATGAAATAAGCGATGAAAAACACGAGGAAATCCCTCGTTCAAGTGAAAGTTTGTTTAAGAAAAATCCAAAAGTCTTTGAGCTGCAACTTTCCTTCTGGAACTCCTTGAAGTATCTTGTCAGGAAAAGCAAGATCATGGAAACTCCGGCAGAAACTGTGGACATATCATCGGTTGTGCATCGCTCCTTAATGGACCAATTTGTATCACTCATTGTCACAGAAGAAAGGGTTCAGATTTGAGCCGATTGTCAACGCTGATTCGTTCGCATTCATCACAACAAAGAAGCAGTGTAGGTGATTCATCCTTTATGATGATACTTCAATGATATTTAATGCTCAAGCACGCCATTTCAATCTCCTGCTGCCTCAAGGTAGCTCTTCTAACGCTCTTTTGTATTACCAAGCCACGAAAAACGCTAGAAGAAGACTTAACACACGTACAAAAAACTAGAACGGCTCAGTTGAGTTATTCCTTAGCGATTTATAGTTATGTTTTCAAAATTTCGAGACCATTACGAAATGTCAAATTCACAATAAACCTTGCGCATGGAGACAAGTTAATCGGAAGATTTTACTACATACTACATGGTTTCTCAAACAAAAACTTATGCCCCCCCCCCCTTGAATCAGTATTACCCAAATCCATTTCTGATAAAAGAGCGGCGAAAAAGCGAAAATCTCTCGCTAAAATCGTTTTTTTGGACTTCGGAACAACCGTGGCGATCCCAGAAATCTGTGTGTAAACACAAAGATCCGATTACTGACAACTCATTCAATACGCCTGCTCTGCCACCCCCACCCCTCTCCTTATTTTTGAACGTCGACCGCCCCCTTGGTACAAATTTATTTCTCTCCTCAGCCTTCCGCTGCCATTAAAATCAAAGAAGGCAGCTACGATATTCGTTGTGAAATTATTGAGCACTCGCCCGACAAAATTACGCCTGCTTTGCAGCCTATGCCTTGCTCGGTCCGTAATTAGAAAACCTGTGCTCCTGTCTTTTTTCCCAAAATAGACCGACTAAGGCTAGTAAATAACATGTATATACATTGAAAGATATTTTTGATCTAAGTTTATGTCATTATCTATCGCAATTGCGCAATTACTACGTAAAAGCACTTTTAATAACATCGCCAGAGCTCCAATCTCTTTTGTTAAGTGCGATACGTTTTGTGTCTTTGATAAAAATGTAAAGTTTTGACAATGTCGTTTGCATTTGATTATTTATTAACAGCGACGGTTTATCTTTTAGTCTTCAGTTATTCCTTTTTCACATCTGTTCCACCCTCGCTCTGCAAAGCCATAATGGGGTTAATATTCTTTTAAGATGCTTCTCAGGTACATTGCCAAACCGATGGCAGAGACGAAGCTCAAAACCATCACAAATCAGAACGATCATCAGTGTAATCTGTAAGAAACAGCTGAAAAAAATTGAAAATTGATCGTGTCTTAAGTGGTTACAAATTTTCGGATCATGTACTAAAAGAAAGTAGAATTATAATGACAATGTTATGCAACACATCCGCACGAATACTGTATACATGAACAGCAGAATGAAAAAAAATTAAAGATTTGAAAGACTTTCCGCTGTAGCTCTAGTTAATGATTGCGTTTACTATTTACACCTCAAAAGAATGGACTAGAAATGGCGGAAACTTCTCAAAGCCAGATTTGCATAGTCTTGGATGAGCGGAATCGGTCACTTTCCATGACAGATTCAGGGCGGGCGAACTGTCAACAACCGGGCCAGTCTGTCACTAAATACGCCTCCCTATATTCATCACCACGCTGTTGGGAGATTCCCGCAGAACTTGTGACTATAGAAAAGGTCGTTGGTAAAGGGGCTTTTGGTCAGGTTGCCAAGGGAACAGTCATAGGCCTCCAGGAAAGACCAAAGAAGACGCTTGTGGTTGTTAAGATGTTGAAAGGTACGAAATACTTTAAATAATTCTATGTGTTTCAGTGAAATTCCGAAGTTAACACTCCCATGGAAAGGCGTAAGGTTCAGCAGGTAGCATTAAAAAATCTACCTTTTACTTAATCCTGAAAGTAGCAAAGCAAGCCCTTGCCCCCCTCCCTCATCCCTTTTAAGTGGGGAGAGTAAGGTTCATTTTAGTAGTATATCTATTCTTCAATCAGCAGTCAACTAAACGTGACCTCACTTAGTTGATAAAGATCGTGAGACAATTTGAAACTAGGTATCAAACAGACCATGGATGGTTTGACCAGACCTGGGTAATCAAGATATGACAAATATCTCACGCGGCCTTAGTATGAAACTTACTAATGCAGTGTCCTCTGATATCAGAAGTTGTAAAATTTTCTTATCAATTAATCAGAAGAACTACCTTTATTCTGCAAGAACTTACCGACACAAACGTTTCTAAGTAAAAATCTAAATTCTTTTCAACGGTAGCAAACCTCAAAGACTACTTTTTCCGAATTCAAATTGACATAAGGGTGGTCCCTTTCAACATTAAACCTCAGTGGGAGAGAAAAAAAATGTCTCTGTTAAACGTACACTGCTCAGCAATTGTTTTGCAGAAGTCTTATGCTAATTAATTTAGTACCGTTAAAGCATGGTCGCACTGGTATAGCAGTGGAATGTAGGGTTTTTGTTATTGTATCTGTCGACTGAGAAGAGCGTTGAAAATTATATTTACTTATAGAGTGTAAACGAAGTATTACAGTCTCGATTCAGTCGGTCTTATTGAGCATTACACACGAGCTCCAAAGATAAAGTTGTATAAGATATTTAATGACTACGACTATTTCATAACCTCATGATGTTATGTGCCACTTATTTTTGTTCAGAAAGAGAATATCAACTGACATTCCCCAGGGTTCAGTTATTGCTATTACTTGCATAGGTAACAACTGATGATGGGTGATTATCTTGCAGATCACGCTTCTGAGTCGGAGACGAAGGACTTGTTGTCCGAACTTCAATTGATGAAGGAACTCGATGCTCATCCTCATATCATTAAACTTCTGGGATGTGTCACGAAATCTGGTAAATATGAATAAGTATACTTTAATACCCGAAAAATTCTTTCGAACAGATCTCGTGCTTACTATAAGCGTATTTTTCATGTTTACCATGCTTTACAGCGCCATTGATGGTGTTGTTTGAATACGTTCCCTATGGAGATCTATTGGGATACCTCAGAAAGAGCCGTGGATTAAATGATACTTACTTTAAAGACCCGGATATCAAACCACAAACAAATCTGACGTCAGAGAAGCTGATGAAGTTTGCTTGGCAAGTTGCCGATGGAATGTCGTATTTGTCATCAATACCAGTAAGTAGGAACGGAATTTTTAGTTAGTGAACTGTTTGGCATGTGTTGCTGAAATCGGACATAAGTCATAACTTTTCATTCTTTTCGTTCAATTATTCTGAACCCCTCAATTCATTAACATTAATGATTTGATTTGTTTTGTCGTAGATTATCCATCGAGACCTTGCAGCTCGTAATGTGTTGGTGGGAGAAGAAGAAAAGTGCAAAGTAACAGACTTTGGTATGGCCAGGGATGTGCAAGAGGACAACATTTATCAACGAAAGTCTAAGGTATCAAATTAGTTCACTTAGATAGAGATCTGTTTACAGTCTTATATCGGTAAAGTCCGGTTTATCCTTGATCACGATCTTTTCTTCAGTTTCGCCGACCAGTTCTATGTGTTTCTAATTTAGGAACGTCTCCCTGTTAAATGGACTGCCATTGAGGCATTGCTGTACGGAAAATATTCTACAAAGAGTGATGTGTGAGTACAAGGGCATTATAAGGTCCATAAGCAAATTGGGAAAAGTGATTGGATGTCTTCTGTACGTTAGTCATTGTATTTTTCTTCACTGATGTGGAGATGTGGAGGCATCCTATTAAGAAGGGGTGGTAATACCCTTTCTGGCTTCGAGTTGTAAGTAACGGTCCAGGTCCCGCTCCTATAACGAGTCTAGTGTGCTTCCCATGAAGTTTTGCCGAAGATGTTTGATTTACTTTTTTTTAACGGTACGGACAAGAACGTTTATTTGCTTTAATGCATCTCGTTTGTTTTACAGGTGGAGCTACGGAGTTCTCCTCTATGAGATCTTCACGATTGGTAAGTTGCGAGATTAATAACCAGACCATTAATTTTAGCGTCAACGTGTCAACAAAACTAGCACTTGTGTTGACACGTGATCATGAAGTAAGCAGGGTGTACCATTCTCTGAGGAATTCAGTTTTGCCTTAGTGTTTTGTAACTGTCAGGCCACCTTAGATTGCCTCAGTCGCTGAACTTATTGGAAAAAGAAACAAAACGAGGAACAATGGTGCAGGAATTATATTGTAAAAATGTATTTACAAGTGTTAGGCCCTTCGTGGAGGAGTGTATTCAGAGTACCTGCCTTATTTCAGGTGGTTCGCCGTATCCAAGGATGGATGGAAAAAAAATGGCAAACTTGCTAGAAGAGGGCTACAGAATGCCTAAACCACAACATGTGGATGAGAAGTTGTATGAAAAGATTGTGCTGTTGTTGGTGTTGTTTTTATTTTTAAGTTCTTATAGCAGTAACATTTATTTTCAAAGTTCTTCTTATGAAAGTTGCATGCGAAGCTCAAAATTAAACCAGTTTTTCTTTCTGAATGAGCCTACTTAGGGGAAATATTGGAGTGAGTCAGTGATCACGAGTTTGTTTCTTGTGGTCATTAAAGAAAGGAACAAGCTTTCCTACCGTATATTGCAACATTTTGTGCCTAACAGCATCCTAACTGAGGGCAGTAAGAACGTATAATGATATTTCCTTGACTTCTTTGTGTTTCAGGTATGACTTAATGACAAACTGTTGGAATAACGACCCTAACTTGAGACCATCTTTTGAAAATCTGAGGAACGAACTCAAACAAATGGAAAATCAGCGCAAGGTAGATTCGTGGAGCTATCTTTGATCTTTTTAAGTTTCATCTGGCTTACGCAGACCTACAAACGCAATTTACCGTCAGCTTTAAGTCGGCAGATTTTGTGTATCGTAATATTTTATGAAAATAACGGAAGTTTCGATGCTACTTTGCCTAAATTATGAGGTAACAATGATATACCAGGATTCCACCCAGTGTCCTTGCACAAGTTCCAAAGCTCGTTCTTATTTCATGCTATTCTCTGAATCTATCAGTGAAAACCCAAAATAGATGTGAAGTAAGGTTAGTACCAGTGCACTTCTTTAAACGTTTAGTTTGGTCTGTAAAATAATCACACCGTAATACTCCTTACCTTTTTCTATTTTTTTTCTAATGTTGAATTTTAGAATCATCACTGTTAAATGCATGTGATAATGGCGTCACTATGAAGTCATGTTGCATGTCTATTTCATTTCGCTTATTTCCAATTATAATGCCATCAGCAAAATGCCCTTTACGAACGATAAAAATTCATTTTAAAAAAAGGCTGTATCGCGAGCGATTAAGATTGTCTGATTTTCACCCCATTTTTTGCAGAAGCTGATAAACTTAAAGAATTACGACGATCGACTCTACGTTAATGTTGACGATCTTGCTGTGTAAGCGGTTGCATTCTTATGGAGCAAAGGATGGAGTGATAAGTCTTGCAGCCCTATGAGATCGTATGCTATTTTCTCTGTGTATTTAAAGTTAAACCTTTATTCGATGTTGATACAAAACAGGCCGTTTAACCGCGAAGCAAGGAACAGTATAGCTTTCATGTAATTTTAATTGTATCTTTTTTTATGTTTGTCTTGAAAAGACGAACGATGTTTTGGAAAAGCATATCAAAGTAGCCTCCCGTAACTTTTTGTCATTGATATTAATTAAAATTAATTTTGAGAGTGAATATCTATTTTCTTGTAAAATGTTAAAAAAAACAGAAATTGCTTGAATTGCCTTTTCCTTTTCGGAACGTAATCCAAATGGCAAAGTATGAAAAGATACTTAGCACAGTGAACGCTGAAGATTAACTGTTGAGGAACCTGTTCTTTAGATCAGAAAGTTGTGTCACTAAGGTAATTTAGAACGAAGTCCAGAATAAGCCCCAGGGAAACGGTAATTCCTTTTGAAAATCAGTCGTTGGGGAATTTATAAGAATAATAGTGTTGTTATGACAAATTTATTTGACGCATGTTTTTTGCATTGCATTCTAAATCAAAGGAGTTGTTAATTAAGCTAATGACTGAACAAAGACATTTTTCTTTAGTTATTTAGACAGTTGTTTCTCGCTCAAATATTCATATTAGTTTGATATATTTTTCTGTGTGGAACCGTCAGAAAGCGCGGAATAAAGTTTCTGAGTTGTACAACCTTGTAAAATTCAATAAATAGTCTCCATTTTTGACCATGGCGTTGAAGTCTTAAGGGGCATCCCCTGTTAGGGAATCCCATTTCCACATTGACCAAGTCAAGGATGAATAGGTATTCTGGTTCGTGGCGAGAAGAACTGGCCAAGATAACACTGATCGTCACCGCCCACTTATGATTGCGTATAGAAAAAGCAGCTGCATGGCGCCAGTAGTCAGTGCCAAGTGTATTGCGATGTTCTGTCGTACATTTTGAGAGGGATTTGTGGGTAATGAGCTATTCTGCCGTCGATGTGAAACTTTAAAGAGACCCGAACAGAAAAATGTGTTGCACTGTTCGTCAGATGAGAGATCTGCCATTGAACATTCCTTTGAAAGAGGATTTAGTTATAAAATTGTTGTTCAGTTTTTAGGAAAAGAAGTGATGAAGGGCCTTCGATTCCACGTTAAATAATCTCCCGAACTTCGTGCTCTGAATGAACTTCATTTCTCTTTCTCAACCCGTACTCACGTAACCTTCTTTTTAGAGTCCTCAAGTTCACAGAAATACCATGGTATTTTCCTAAAAACTGAACAGAACATCGTCAGCCGTACCGGTAAATCTCATGCGGGAAAACTTTCGGATAATTTATCCAAGTTTCCTTTCACAGCTCGCGTTCTGAAGGGAGATGTGTTCGTAAATTCTCTGGGAAGCCACCTAGGAAGTCAAAACGTACAATTCTTCCTTGCCTGTGTTTATAGAATGACGCATGCACATATTGGCCTTTTGTTTTTTATACTGTGCAAGTTATTGAGTGTTGCTCAAAATATGAAGAAGTCAGGGCGAAAATGCTTCTGCCTGTGCTGAACGATGGTTAAATGTACATGTATTGGCCTCTTTGTTCGTTTGCTAGGCGAGCATTATGTGTTGTTCGAAATTCATGAAGAAGAAAGGACGTGTGATTCTTCGATATCTATATAAAAAGACAGATACACATAATAGCTTGAAGTTTGCTATAGTGCGCGAGTTAACGAGTGCTGCTCAAAATATGGAGAAGTCAGAACGTGTAATTCTTTATTGCCTGTGCTTATACATTATGTAGAACGATGCATGAATATGTTTGCCTCTTTTTTTTGTTTTGCTGCGCGAGTTATCGAGTGTAGTTCAAGATATGAAGAAGAAAGGACGCCTAACTCTTTGCTTCCTGTTTTTATAAACCGACACAAGCAAATATTAGCCCCTTTGTGTTGCTACGCAAGTTATCGTGTGTTGTTCATAATATAAAGAAAAGACGTGTGATTCTTTGCTGTTTGTGCTCATGGAACGACCCAATTCACATATTAGCCTCATTTTTTGTTTTGCCACGCGAGTTATGGGGTGTTGTTTAAAATAACCAAACAACTCAACTTATTGTTCAAGGTACCTTTCTCGTACAAATCTCATCAAAATTTTATTTTATCATGGTTCTAAGTCCCACTGGTAAGATGCAATCAACGACTGAACTACGAACTGTAACTCCCAATCGGGTGAATCGAAAGATTCGAAAAGACGTACAGAGGTACCCCTCTCCTACCCCTCTCGCAATACATTTTAAGGATAATGATCAAATTTTCAAATCGTCAACCCATCTTCACGATTTGTTTATTCGAGCGGATCGACAAATTATAGATTACCAAAATAGGTAAGAACTATAGGCAGGGTAAAACAGTCAGATCTGTGGAAACTTATGAGCGAAGAATCTGGAGCTGACTACTCTTCATACACATTGTAACTTAAAAATATAAATATTAGCGATATTAGTTTTTCGATCGCTCAGCCTAGGGTTAGGGTTTATTACTTAGGGTTTTTTTTACTCAACTTTTATTTTATCTCTTATAGAGTAGGTATACAGTAAATAGTATTTTAGCGTTCCCTATTATATTAACATTCATGCTACAGTATCTTTGACACTTGGATAAAGGTCTCATTTTATCTTATCTTGTGGAGTCGTATCGGTAAGTGTACGTTGGATATACCTATTTTACGCAAAAAAAACGTTCCAGTAATCACAAGTGCTGTCTAAGTTTTTATTGTTTTAATTAACCTATCATTTCGCGTATTAGCTTAGTGAATAGATATCGATATCATGCGATTACAATATTTTTTTTAGCTACGATGAAGGTTATGTACTAGAGGAAATAGAAACCGATGTTACTGAAGTCAAATGTCACTGAATAGCTTTGCATTTAATTTGGTTTATATATTTAGCATTGCATCAATTCAAGTGAGCCTAAGCAATTGGCTACGAAGTAGTTCACGAAAAAGGTTACTTGCGGCAAGTTCCCATAAGTCATTTACTTCAGACTGAATGTTAGTCTTAAAAGGCATGGGACAATCTATTTAGATCTCGATTTCCGTTACTCTGTTCAGTTTGCTTTATAGATGAAAGTGGTTTTTGCTAGTAAACCTCACGGTTAGTTTAAAAGTGGAGTTTAAAAATGACATCAGATTTGTGAACCGCTTCGATCGATTTTTAAATCAGTATAATTTCTCGTTCTATTTTGCACATACTATATTCTGATCCTCGTCTTGTGTCTTTTTCGAGGTGTAGAGGTTTAGCTGTTGACCTAAGGCTCATATTCAATTCTGAAACAAGAGAGCAAGATGTTATCACAGTGCTATGTAATGCTACGAAAGGTGGAAAGCTCGGAAACTTCAGTGTGAGTGTTATAAAAAGGACAAGATCTCTGGTTAATTTTGAAACAAGAACCACTGCCGCATGCTCATTTCCAACGTCACCCGGCAGCCCATCTGACAGTAAGTTGTCTGAATTTGTTATCGTCTCTTAATGTCGACCCTTTTCACAAAGTTTTAAGTCTATTGACTCGTAGTTGATGATTGGCAAGATTTCACAGAAATGTCAATGCATGGTATGTTCTAAAATAGCAAGTCAATTGGAATGAGATTCATTGAAACTCATAGGAGACACAAACATAGTGAATACATTCAGTATGTGTCATATTTGTGTTGTGTATTGTTCCCAGTTTCAAAATCATATACAAATACATTCATTCTATAACACCACCAAAGCTAAAGGCGACGGACTGGAAAGGGGTTTGCCTTGGAACTTTCGGTTAACATTCGAGCAGGCCGTCATTTTTATCGCTTAGTATGAGCATTTCTTTGCTCGCTGGTAAGTTTCTAGCCAGCGACAGGTCTGGCAATAATAATAGTATTACTAGACCTCCAACAAACCTCTCCCCAATCAATTGGTCAAATCTCCCCGCGGGCAGATAATCGTGCATCCCTTACCGCGAATAATGAGGGCCAGGTGCGTGAGCCGTGCGTCCTCAACTCTTAGACCTTCACATGAACTCAGTGAAATTACTGATCAAGAGTTTCTGTTATCTCGGCAGAATTTAAAAATGGAAAAATATCCAATACATGTTGACTCAAAATCCATTGTAGATTACACTACTTTTAATTCTCACAGGGCGAAATGAATAACACATAAAGCGCTGATATCAAAGAATGATTTCAATTCTGCTAGAAGCAAGCTTATTTTAAGCAGTTAACGCCAGCAGTACAGTATAGATCTATTAGGTACCTTCATGCGTTCTTGCTGGCTCATGATTCTGACATTTCTTAAGACACCTTAAAGAGTAGGTAAGTGTATGTCCCTTCGGACATACACTGTTTCTCCTAATTAGCATTGGTGTTTGAAAAAAAAGTTTTATTTATTTTTTCAGAAGTAGTTAAACGAAGGATAGCCTATATTTAGTTAACGGAGACATATATTTCATATGTCCTGCTATTAGGTGCCTTATGGTATATTGTAGCTGCAGTGCTAGGTTCAGTTGCCGCACTGGCTCTTCTTGTTGGAATATTAGTTTTGTTCAAATTGAAGTATAATTGGTGTTGCAAGAAATCCAATGGTAAGAGTTGTATTAATGCAATATTTGGGTCTCAAGAAACGGAACCTCCAAGCCTCCCTGTGTTTAGATGAGGCTGGGTAAACAAGTCTTTTATTCGTATTTGAAATGGGGCGAATATAAAGCGTGGTAATTGTGATTACATCTTCGTGTTTCTCTGTTATTTTGTAATTTTTACCATCGCATTAGATAATAAACAAACCGCTGTATAGATGAATGTCAGATGGTAAAATTTTGTGTTGCCTCCGAATTAATTGCTTCTTTTCTTTTGTTAGTTATTTAGTTATTCTTCTTTCGCTTTTTCTCGATTATTATGTCTGTTTTGATCGTTGTAGGGGCAACAAAAAGAGAAAGGTGACGTTATTGTCCATTTTATGGTGTGTTCGCTACTTGTTTTTGTTATAAGTTGCAAACAGTACACCTCTACATTTACCTGTTTGCTTTTTGCAAACAAACCAAGCTCCTGGTATTTGTGAAACTTGGCTTTGTTTGAGCAAGTGCGCGAAGTGAGTTTTAAACCAGTGCAAAAAGGCACTTTCCATATTTCCGACGACGTAATGCATAGTATGGTCTGAAAACTGAGAGAAAATGAAATGACAGTGATGTTACTCACTGCCTACATACTTTTTCATGGTAAGTGTAAAAATGAAACACTAAATTATTGAAATGGTAGTTCAAAGTAGGTTTAAATGCAGCAAGTGATACAGAAATTATGTCGTTGGAAAACATCTTTCATTATAGCCGTGGTTTTCTTAATTTTTTTAAACCATGAGGCTGGACTTGAAATGGCATATCCTTCTCAAAGCCAGCAACACATGGCATTGGATGAGAAGACTCTGTCAACATCCAAGACCGGAGATGCGATGCGGGCGAACTGTCCACAACCCGCCGAACCAGTCAGTGAATACACCTCTCTAGATCCATCTACACGCCATTGGGAGATTCCTGAGTAGCGTGTGTCTATAGAAAAGGTCGTTGGTAAAGGTGCTTTTGGTCAGGTTGCCAAGGCAACTATCATAGGCCCATATGGGGGACTTAAGAGAACACTTGTGGCTTTCAAGATGTTGAAAGGTATCGATTGCTTGAAATAAATACGTGCATTTCTTTAAAATTCGTAACGAAACCTCCAAAAGAAGCGTCAAAAACTTTTGTTTAGTCATTCTGAAAGTAGCAAGGGAAACTTTATCTCCGCACCCCTCAAATAGTGGACCAAGGCTAGTTAAGTGCTGAATCTATTCTTGAATGGGTAGTAAAGAAAACGTGATCTCAGTTACTTGATCATAATAACCAGGGCAACGCTATTGAGACATGAGAAGCCCCTTCTGTGGCCTCACCATCAAGGTGGAACTTTCGTGCTCAGTTCGTATCCACCCTTGCTTAAGCAAATCAGTAAAAGTGTCTTTTAAAATAATTAGAAAACTATTGTCTTTCATCAAACCTCTTACCTCACACACGCTCCAAAGTAGAAAACCACAAAGATTAGCAATTCCGAATTCAAAGTAACGAGGGCCACTTTTTCCAAAATGTGACCTCAGTGGAAGTGAAAAGTAATAGCCCCGGCTAATTGTATTCCGCTCAGTATTTTACTTGCTGAATGCCTACACTTATTGATCTCTATATCAATAAATGTAGTCATGCCGGTAGATTAGTATACACACAGTTTTATAATTGTCTTTTTTTCACTAACTACAATGTTTTAAATGTAATTGTACGTGTACGGTGAAAACATAGCATTAGGGCCGCAGCAGGTTTGTCTGCCCGCTAGAGTAATTTAAAGGATTTCAAGAATTCACTTCTGACCTTATGATTTGAAATACGATGCTAAACCACTGAGCTACACACCACTCGCCGTGAGATAGGACATATACTACTAGTTTCGTCACATTTACTGTGATTGCTTTAAAAGGTAACAATTCTTGGGTGGTCATCTTGCAGTTGACGCTTCTGAATCAGAGAGGAAGGACTTGTTGTCCGAACTTGATATGATGAAGCACCTCGAGCCGCATTTTCATGTCATCAAACTTTTGGGATGTGTCACGATATCTGGTGAATATGGAAAAGTTTACATTAATAGCCCGTTTTCGAGCAAATCTCTTGCTCACTAGAGACATATTTCCACACTTCCCATGCTTTACAGTTTAAATAGTTTTTCGGAGACTTGAAGCAAATTTGCACTTGTTCTTCAGTTATCTGTAACTTTTGCCGCTTCCACTCGACTCCCAGGTATGTTGTCTAATGTTCAATTACTGACCTCCAATTACTAGTTACATTACTTGGTTTACGTAAACTTAAAGTTTACTTCATGTCATCATAAAATGCCTCGTTTATCCTGAATGAGTTGAAGATCTATCTATCTTGCAATAGACCCACTGATGGTGTTGATTGAATATGTTCCACATGGAGATCTGCTAGGATACCTAAGAAAGAGCAGTGGATTAAATGACAATTACTTTAAAGACCCGGATATCGAACCACATACAAATCTGACGTCAGAGCAGCTGATGAGGTTTGCATGGCAAGTCGCCGATGGAATGACGTATTTGTCATCGATACCAGTAAGCTATATTTAGTTGGCGAATTTTCACTTTTGTACATGTTTCTGAAATGGGTCATGAATTTTCACTCCTAGTTTCATTTAGTTAACTCTCCTGGACTTTCTAAACTCATTACAATACCAATGATTTGCTTTGTTTTGTCATAGATTATCCATTGAGACCTAGCAGCTCGTAACGTGTTGGTTGGAGAAGGGGAAAAGTGCAAAGTAACAGACTTTGGTATGGCCAGAGATGTCCAAGAGAACAACATTTATCAACGAAAGTCTAAGGTACCAAGATATTTTTAACCAAAAGTTGGTGACGAAATTAGCGAGGTTTTACAATGGTCTGTAGTCTAAGATTTACCGTACACCAGTGGCTCTGTTGGCTCTACAACATATCATCAAATCACTGCTAAAATTATTCAACATGCCTTGAGGTTCGTGATCAGGCTGTTATATGTTATGAATTTCATTTTTTGACCTTTCCTTCAGTCTCGTCAACCAACTCTTTACGTATATTTGATTTAGGGACGTATTCCCGTAAAATGAATAAAGGGGTAAGTTTCTATAGAAACTGTGGTGCTGCTTCGGTGGGAGAGTATAGCAGGTAATTTAGTGTTAACAACTGGGTTGAAAACGTAAATTAACCACGGTAAAGGGTAAAAAAGCTGAGAGAACGATAGATATACAGAGCGATAGATATACAGATATAGATATACAGATATAGATATACAGAGCGATAGATATACAGTTGTTAACACTAAATTACCTCCCTGTAAAATGGACAGCTTTTGAGGCGTTGCTGCACGGAAAATATTCTACAAAAAGTGACGCGTCAGTACATGGACCACATAAACAAAATTTTACCAGCTTAATGGAAATAGCTCAGAATGACCCTTTCAGCTCTAGGAAAAGTTATTGGACTTCTTACGATTTTTGGTCGTTACATTATGTTGATGTGGGATCATCTCATTAGGAAGAAGTGACAGTACATGCTCCGGTTTTGAGTTATAAATACCGTCTAGGATCAGCTAAGAGGACGAATATTGGTATGCTTTCCAATACGTTCTGCCGAAGGTATTAAAATTCTTTTTTTTACAGACAAGAGCGCCGATTTCCCTAAATTCATCCCTTTTGTCTTATAGGTTGAGCTATGCAGTTCTTCTCTTTTTCACGATTGGTAAGTTACAAGGCTGATGGACTGGCCATTTATTTTAGCCTCGGTATCCATGTTGACAGGTAGTCATGAAGTAAGCAGGGTGTACCAGTCTCTGAAGAATTCACTTTTGCTCTTGTGAATCATAACTGCGACAAGCTAGTTTGGATTACCACAGTCACTGGACTTAACATTTGTTGTTGTTAGAGTGTGTTGAGAGTAGCTGCTCTATTTCAGGTGGTTCACCGTATCCAAGGATGGATAGACGACAAGTTTTAACGTTGCTAGAAGCGGGATACAGAATGCCTAAACCACAACATGTGGGTGACAAGTTGTATGAATATATCATGTTTTCTTTGCTGTTTTCGTTGTTTATTTTGCGATGCCTTTTCTCTTAAAATAGAGTTGCAATTAAGTTCTTTTTGTTCGAATCGCATACGCGGCTAAAAATTAACCCCCTTTTCCTTGATGGGCAAGTCTACCTGTTGGAAATGTTGGAATAAGTCAATAAACTCGAGTTGTGATCAACATTTTAAGCCTAATGACGCCCTAAGTGAGGCCATTAATAACATACTGAGATCCTCTTAATGTCTTTGTGTTTTAGGTATGACATAATAACAAACTGTTGGAAAGACGACCCTAGCATAGGACCATCTTTTGAGAATTTGAGGAAAGAACTCAAAGAAATGGAAGACCAACACAAGGTAGGTTTGTGGAGCTTACGAAGAGACTATGTCATCATGACATCTTTTACCTTATCGGTTTTATCTGGCACATGCAAACATTCTGTATATTAGCATATTTTGAGTATTATTATTATGTGTTGTTTGGAAAATTATCCGAGTATGATTGGAACGTTTCAAAGCTACAAAAAGTAAATTGAGGTAACAAAATAAATGTACTCAGAAGTGGTCAACAGCAGGCAGAAAATATATTTTTATGTGTATTTTTTGAAATTTTAGTCTTGAAAAGAAAACGATTTTGTTTACAAGAATGTTAAAGTATCATTTTTTTTTAATCAGTATCGTATTTTTATTTTTAATGTTTTGTACTGAGGAATTGAAAATGGGAAATTTTTCTCGTTTTTTTAGATTTATTTTTCATGACGGGGGATATATTTATTTAGCGTTAATTATCGTTATCAACGCTTTTTCTAAAAATGTTTTGGAGCAAAATTTTAATGAACACAATAAATTCACGATTACGAAAGGTGTTACCCCGAATCGTCATGTCTGAAGCTAAGCATGTAACGAAAAGAATATCTTTGATATTGTTAGTCAAGTTTTCACGGGAGGAAGTAATTTTGGTTAACAACAAAAAAATTACTCATGTTTGAGGGAAACCCATGGAAGTTCAGCAGTTGGAGAGCGGGTAAGTCTCACGCATTGAGCGTGCGACCCACTCAAATCAATTCAAAACAAAGTAATTGTCCTTCTCAGTAGAGTGTGCTCCTTGTTACCCTTGTCCTCGCTTTGAAAACTTCCCAACAAAGGAAATTCTCACACAGAATAAAGGAATGCACGTCTTTAGTAGCCTCTTCCCTCTTGATATAAATTATTACGGGACTATGCTCCCATACCCCCCCCCCTCGGGTAAGTGATGCCCATGCCTACAGCGTCTCACTCTTTACCATCAAACTGTGTCTGACCGAAATTCCCCTACTAAACAAACTTCTATTAATTTGGTAAAACAATATTTTTTTCTTTTGTTAATGGGCATCTAACTGTGGGTTCTTTGTATTTGAGTACTGACCTGGACTCTGAAAAATAGCTAGAAGCACTTGGAGGCAAACTTCTTTAAAACTTTCAATCTATTAATTTACAAATAAACATCAAAATTATAATTCTTTCATCTCAACAAATCAAATTTGACCTATCACTTGTTAATGAAACACTTACAATTTGGTTCTACAACACTCTTTAGGTGTCATGTATCAAAACAAGGATTGATTAGCGATATTTCTGTCTCATTTACACTAAAGGATTAAAATTCTTAAAAACACCTTTTTGGAAAGGGAGACATCGAAAAAATTCCTTTCGTTACTCGTCTAGATATTGAAAAAAAAAAAAAAAAAAAAAAAACGAAACAAGTCAAGGTAACTTCTTTCGCCAACATAAATTTTTCCCGTTTTTTACATTTTGCCTCTGAACACGTTTTGAAAATGCGTGGATATCGATAATCACCGCTGAAAAATATTTTTTCCGCGTTATAAACAATGCAAACTGAAAAAAGAAAAGTTATTTCCCATTTCATTTTCGCATTCCCTAATTCCCCAATCTCTCTTTTAGTTACATTCTATGTTCTCGGGCCGCAAAATCGGGCAAGCTTTTCGGCACTTTGACCGTCGCCAGTGCCCGGGGGTGGCATGGGGAATTTGATCCTTGACCGGGTAGGGCGGGGTATTTGAATCAGAGGTGTCAAGTCTTTTCAGTGCAATAAACGTGCTTTAATGAAGGAGTTCAAGTCTGAAGAGTCTGCTTTCGTTAGTGAATGGCTTAGACAGACAAATTTCACATCTTAGAATGATGCTTACAAGCGTAACACTAAACAGTGGAACTAAAAACTAATACTAAATTCTACAACAAAGAATCGTTCAATATTGGTTGTGACATTTGAAAGGAATTTCGAGCTAAGGAGGGGGGATTGGAACGAGCCAATCTTCAGATGTTCAAATGCCCGCGAGGGGGATGTTGAAGCTTCAAATTTATCGACTCGTTAGCCTCATCTAAACACTCGGAGGACAGCTGGTTGTCATACATGTCATGTCCATAAAATTGTGCTCAAAGAGGGCACTGATTATCAATTATACCTAGTTTTCGATTAGTGAACACAACAAGATTTTAACTAACAGTGGCGGATTTAGGGGAGGGGCCTGGGGGCCCGGGCCCCCCTAAATTTAAGTAGAACAAAGGACTCGCAGAAGGAAGAAAAACCGTCAGGGCAAGCGACAAAAAACTGGGCCCTTAGCTCAAGGTCTGGATCCGCCACTGACTAATACATAGTCGGTCACCACAAAATGGAGAATGCAGGTTGCAGACCGGGTAAAAAATGCAGACTGCAGACTGGGTACTAAATTCAGAATGAAAATTTCAACTGTTTTTTCGTCTGATATGTGATAAAGTGTCATCTCACAGCTTACCGAGTGTCACAATGATTTTCACACATTAATATTCGCGTAGTCACCAAACAGATGAGAGATAAAACCATTAGTAAAGTAAACAAATGGCCAGTTACGAAAACAGTGCTTCGCTTTTTTCTATAAAATTTCGCCGGTTCCTAATGTAAACCTATAACAATACAGGGCACATGTGTGAGAATCAGTGTGTGTACATCCCTTAACGTTGAAAATATATCAAGTAGAAGGAATAGTTTTGGCCTCGGTCTGTATTATTGTCAACAAAATGAAAACGTATCGGTTAAAAGATTGAAGAGGACGGACCACGTGCAAAGCTGTCAGTTGCCTCTAAAATAGAGCACGTGTTAATTATTCAATACTGACATCTTTCGTGAAGTGAGAACACTATATGAAGGCTTGAAATTCTATTAAGAACGATTGTGGCCGCTTTGTTAAATACAAAATATGTCAAGAACTGGGCAGAGAACATTGCAACATAGTACAAATATTCGTCAAAGATGATCGCGGAAAAGCGATTGCGTGACACTCGGTAAGTTGTAGGATGGCACGTTATCACTTGTAAGACGAAAAAACAGTATTAATTTTCAGTCTGCATTTTGTACCCAGTCTGCAGTCTACATTTTGTACCCGATCTGCAGTCGGCATTTTGTACCACAATACCAAATTATCTTTACATCCTTACCTTCCCCTACTCACAACTCCCTACCCTTTACCACTCACCCTCAGAATGACTCCCAAGTATACGAGGTGAATAATTTGAATTGAAAATCTTTGCAAAGGTTTATTCTAAAACGTACACTTCTTTGCGTTATATTCCTAATGCCTTTAAGTTCAAACAACTGGTTCGACCTAAGCGAATCTTCCTGGTTTCATTATTTTCTCGACGGTTTTCAAAAAATCCAAATTCAAAATCCATGTTGAACACTAGCCTGAGCTAATGGTGGTAATCCTTTCCATTCCTGATATTTTTGGGTGAGCGTGTGTGTCTGTGTTTAAAAAAAGTTCCACCAATCATTACTACAGTCTAAATTGGTGTTTTTAGTCATCAACCTATCAGGTGTCAGTTTAAATTCAGTTTCCTAGTGGCAAAAATTACTTCCGTGCTAGCGTACATCTAGAGAGTGAAATTCCTATGCTCTCATATATGGCCATCGAACTCGATTCTAACATAGTTCTTCATTTGAAATTTATCTTTGTATGGATTTTAGTGATGCCTCAACTCACAGGTGACGTGTTATTCTGAAGTTTCTCTCGTTTTTACAGCGTAATTTAATCATGAACTCGATTAGGCGCTATAGCTCGCAGTTAACAGCACCCCCTGAACGTGAACATCAAGCAGGTTGTCATGCCTGGCACTGTTTAAATCTTAGGATAATTTGAGAAAATTTGCGTCTGTTGGTCAGATAACTTAATATATGAACATTGGTTTGTTTTAACGGCGGTTTAAAATCTTCACCGTTCAGCAGATGGCGGAAGTGTCACATGGTACGAACCTACTCCTGTGAAGACAACAACGCGTCCATATGAAGTGCTTTCCCCTGGCATCGTACAGGTTTTAGAAGGATCTTCTGTCGCACTGAACTGGAACTACAGTCTGTCGTCAGGTTTCTTAATAGCTATGATAAAATTTAATGGTGATGGTATAGCCATGATTAGCGCCGGTGGACTAGTTGGTGCTCTTAATGCACATTTTCAGGAACGGTTCAACGTTAGCTCGACTCTTGGAAGAGCGTCTTTGTTTATCTATAACGTAACGGTTGCAGACGATAAGACTAATGGAGAATTTAGCTGTGAGTTACTTGATTCCAATGCTGATATCTGGAAACGAGCAATTCAAGTGGAAGTCATAGGTGAGCTTGAAAGTGCTTCCGACAAGAAAGGCAATACCTTAGGGGGCCAGACTGGCATTTCTTTGAATGGTTATGTGTCACCTAACAGGATATGGAATGTGCATTCTTGATTTTCTATTTCTCATGATGTGTCTTGATCAGGGTGACTCTGTGGACCACTAACATTCACTGAGTAGGCTATGAACATTGTAATGTAGTGCACATGAGTTTACGTGGATGACTCTACTTGAAGATATCAAGAAATCTAAATTCCTAGAGATACTACTTTGTTATGCCCTTAAGACTTTTATGCTAAATTGTTATACTTATTAATTACATAAAAGTTTGAATATGAAGAAAGACTTTTTACCTTATAAATGCTTAGCATGTTTTCTTATTATTTTTATTTTTATTTCATTTATTTATTATCATTATTAATTTGGATGACCTGGCCAACTTACTCACTACCTAGGCTTTATACTCGTTCTATTTTATTCCTTACTTACTTTCGATTAATTCTTCAAATCTGGGCATCATTTTGTATAGTTTGCATATGTTGTAAAATGAGCTGAGTTAAATTATATCTGAAGTCTTGATGGTAAAAACAGCTTTTTAAAATATTTTTAAGCTAGCTAAGCAATGTACCTTTCTGTCAGAATATGTTATATGTGTGCAGGCTCTGTGAGGTTAATATATGCCAAAAATCTCCACAGGTTATGGTCTTAAACAGTTGATAACTTGCAAAATCAAAAGATTTTGTCAATAACACATGGTCACTCATACTGAACGTGATCACCATGCAGTTGTGGAACATGCTGTAAGAAACATGTTGCAGCACTTTGAGGATTACAATAATTGCAGCTGTTTGATTTTTTCAGTGCCAGCTAAGGTAACTAATATCACCGGCCTAAAAACTGTACAAGAAGGCAGTAACCTACTGTTAACCTGTAAAACATCTGGGAAACCAGCACCAAACATTACTTGGACCAAAGAAAAGCTAGTCTTGCAAGGAAATACTGAATCACTACAACAGGGAGCTAGGCTGAATATAAGAAACATTGGCAGGAATGAGTCAGGAACATTCTACTGTAAAGCATATAATGGCTTTGGAAACCCAGACAGTCAGGCAGTTGATGTGGATGTCACTTGTAAGCTACATATTGCTTGTCTATTTACTGTGTATTATGTCCTTATTATTATGTTATACATCATTGATTTATCTACATGCAGATGTTTTCATGAGTGTGTGCCCTTGTGTATGTTTTAATAGGGTATTGTGTAGTTCCAGAAAATATCCATACCCTCACCATGGAGGGGGGGGGGTCAAAGTCCCAGGAAATTCCAGAGGGGATGGGGGGCAAGAGGCAAAATTTTCGTCCAGAGGGTAGGAAGTCGATCGACTTTCTTCGTATGTCAATTGGCGCCACTTATCTACTTTAGTGGGACGTTCTGAAGTTCAAGTTGTTAAATTACGATGCTTCTAACAGTTCTGCAGCCAAAGAAAGTTTTCTTTTATCCTTGTAGCGCTTTGGAACATAAATAACATCAAATAAAGAAGAGAATCACTTTGTTTTTCGAACGGAGCCGCCTTTACTCGTTACCAGTCTCCAAAGATTACAATCAACAGGAGTGGTTACCTAGGGATTTTCCTCGGTCATAACACGTTTCGCGTTCGTAAAATTTACAAATAACTGTCTGATGCTGTTTTTTTAAAATTTAAGTTAAATCTCACAGATCGATCCTGCAGTCTCGTTTTGAGCGGTTCAAAAGACTCAAAACGTCTCACAGTCTCGAATTGTTTGCAAAGCCGTTTTGGGGTCTTAACATTGGTCTCGCACTCAAAAAGTTTCGGTCTCGCAAAAAAAAAAAAAAAAAAAAAACGCTGGTCTCGCCGTCTCGCAAAGTTTCGCATAAATTTACCATTCGCTACCCCTTATTGACTCCAGCCATCTCTTAATTTTGATCTGCACTGAGCTTAATTCTGTTGCATCATAATATGTAGGAGACTTGACGATTTCTTTATGGCTTACTTGCTTGCGATGTTACAATGAATGATAAGTAGTACCGTAGTCGAAAACAGTTGATAGTAACATTGAGAAACACTAGGATCCAGGGCTTTGTATATATGCGCGTGGGACTGGTAACTAGCCAAGGTTTGTTTATGCACAATCGGACGAAATTATCGACCTGCTGTTAACAAGAATCAATGCTTGTGTGAAGAAATTTTACATTAGAGGCTGGAATTTGGAAAGATGGGTTCAAAATAACGTACTGCTGACTCGGTTTTCTCTTTTGCTCTCTTATTTATGACACAATTTTGTACAAATTTACGTTGCTTAATGTGATTTCGAACGTTTCCATTTCAAGTGCACGCAATTTTCTCAGTACATTGTACAAACTTAACAGTTCAAAAGTGTTTTGTTGCGACTTGTACGGTTTTTTTCTCCTTTCGTGTACTGAAAATACTGTGTTAAATGTTTAAGGATAAGTATTGTATTTAAAAATAAAGCAAACGTTAAGTTTAAGCTAGTGAGCGACGTTTACCTTGTGCGTGTACGCCATCTCTCGAATATACACGCGACAAAAGCACACGTCCCTCTTGTTTGTTGTTTGCTATGAGAAAAAAATATATTTCCAGGGGGTATAGGGGGTGGTAGAAAATTCTCTGGAAATTCCAGAGGGGGGGGGCTACCACTGCTACCCCAAAATGGAAAATCCGAAGGGGTGGAGGGGTCCTATATGAAATTATATGAAAAGTATGGATATTTTCTGGAACTACACATTTCTGTTTTTGTCACTTCTACTTTGTAGTAAAAAATAGTTATAAAAGCTTATTACTACTGTCCCTAGCTGTGCTAAAAATTTTACAATTAATGTGCTAAGTTATTAAAGAAGCCAAAACATTAAGGTTAATTATATTAATTTCTTAGTTCTCTGGGTGTTTATGAGAAAGAAAAATATGTACAAACAAATACCAGCTTTTCTGTTTCACAAACAAATTTTTGAATTTAGACAGTAAGTTATTGCTGTGAAATATGTTTCACTTGTATCAGTGAGTGTGGTTTGCATTATTTGTGCAAAGAAGCTGTAAATGTGTCGATAATATACTTTGTGTAAGCATCTTCAATATTATTTAATTGTCAGTGGTGCCATTTTTTTAAAATAAAATTTTGGGTATTTCCATTCAATTTACAGATGCAGTTAAGATTGTTACATTTCAACCAGAGTATATTGTTGTTGTACAACAAAGTGTAACTCTTACCTGTGAAGCAGAAGGAAACCCTCCTCCTACTTACACTTGGACTCCATGTGACCCAGAACAAGTTTGCAACAAGAATACTCTTCATATTACACAAGTCCTTAATGATGCCAACTATACCTGCAGAGTGGCCAATGAATTTAGTAGTGATGTAAAAGATGCCAGTGTCTGTAAGTTGTTATAATCATTCCTAATTCACCACATGAAAACTTGCCATTCAAACAATTTTTTTTGGAAATTTTTTAATTTTTATTGGAACTTTGGACTGAGAATTCATAGGAATTCCCAACCAAAACAACTCTGGTTCTAAAAACCTAGAAATTCCTAGAAACTCCCAGAAATTCCAAGTTTATAGCCAACAGGACTTGGAATCCTGGGAATTCCAACTCAGAGCACCAATAACTTTCCTTGAAAAGCTGTAAATCTAAAAAATTCCTAGGAATTTCAAGGAATGTTTAAGAATTCCTGGGAATTTGAAGCAAAAATCTGAGGCTACTTATATGAAATAAATACTAAAACTTAAAAAATCCCAGCTAAAATTCAAGTATTCAATGAAATTTATTTACAAGCTTAATTAAAGTTTATGTGTAAAATATCAACATCAACATGTAGTAATATTAGGATGGAATTTGATTTATTTTTCTTTTCTTGAAAACTTCATACGGTTTAATCTTCAATTACAGCTATTCATATAAAATAGTCCTAATCAATCATTAAATTTGGTTTGACACAAATTGTGAATAAAATCTGTTGATTCTTTTCCATAAAATGCAATATCTTAAATAATATTTGTTGCGATAAATACTATCTGTCTAAAAATAGTCTTAAAATGAGTTATTTAATTTTGGATGATGATACATATGGTATTAACCCTTTTGCTCCCAGAGACAGGCTTTGACTTGATTTTATGTGGTTGTAACTTATTTGGATAAAACTCTTACATGTGAACACTCAAATGTAAGCTGTCAATTACCACTTTCATGTTTTACTCTTTGTTTTCGTTGATTCTGCACATTGAAATTTGAAGATTTCTTCTCAAATTTTGATCTAGCACTCTTGGGAGTGAAGGGGTTAATTACAATTAAATAATTGATTTTTTAATTAAAATCTTGTTGTAACTGTAACAATAAATTAGAATGAAGTTATTCTAAACTGCAGACTTAGCTGCTGTTTATCTTTTTTCCCTGGGCTCACAATGAGTTGGCCTTTAATGAGGTTGTCTACAAGAAGCTTGACCATTTTGTATCTGGATTCCATGACATCTGAATTTGAAAAAAAATATATATATGTGATAAATTCACAAGATGAGCGCCAAATGGAGTCTTCTTTATTTCCGATCACGGGCATGACCACGTGGATCTTTTAGGACTTGTCATTGGCTAGCAAAGTGAATCCGCTGGCTTGCCGATTGCAGTGTGAAGAGAAGCGCACAACTTTACTCTGACTTCTCCGACCGGTTCTCTGCTTCTGGACGTTAGATACCTTGGATCCATGTTCTGACGGTGATGTAAATAATGATGTGAGCTCACTCTATGTAGAATTATAATAAAGTTCGGATATAACGCGCGCTGTCATTGGTCGAAAGAGTGTGCTCTATGAGAGTATAGAGCATAGAACTGAGCTAAAGCTGTCACGCCATCTGCCAAATTGTACTATGTTCGACCTTTTCCGGTAATTGAAAGTGAAATTTCGGAACATGCGATCCGGCAAGTAGCAACAGAAGAAACAAACAAAGATTTGTAAACATACCAGGCGCCGTAATTTACGTTATTAAAACGTGAGCAGATACGAAAATCCTCAAAGGAAAAACAAAATAGACATTCCGAGTTTTAAAGATTAATTCACGCTCAGTTAGACTGCAAGCTTACGTACGGAAATAAAAATCAAACACAGCTAACACTCATACAGTATATAAAACTCAATGTTCAAAAATAAAACAGAACAAAACAGAAATGATGAAAAATATAACCAAACTGGCATAACTGTTAAAATTCATTCTAATCATGAAGGTGTGAGCGAATATGATCATGCTGAAGTCCATCGCGGCTTGCTCATCATGGCGATCTCCGGTCATCACAGTAAAGCAAGCCTCAGAAACTAGATCGGCCACCCTTCGAGTGAAAAAATAAGAGCTTGCTCTGATATCCTCTGCGATGTGTTGAGTGGAAAGTCACATCTGTCACTGCAGCCGAATTTTGCCGCGCTGTCATCCCTAGCGATCTTCATGTTCCGGTGAATTCGGCTGTCGTTCATTCAAAAAACACTCGCGTGTTTTTATGAGCCATAATTCGGCTGAAGTTCACTGAACATTTCACTTCAAGATTCTGTATTAGAGACTTAAAAACTTCAGGCAAAAGTGTTAAATTCGACCTGCCGAACCATTTTAGTTTGTAAACTATCGCAGAATGTGAACTTTGATGGTTTGACACTTTTGACAGCTTTTGTCTTGTACAGCCAATCAGATTATTTGAACCATTCTAACAGGGATTCTGATTGGCTTATTGTAGCGTGCTTTATGAGAGTATAGAGCATGCTGACGACACTGTTGTTCGCTTTGGAAATAAAGTTTGTTTTGAAAATTGAAAGTAATGCTCGGGGAATTTAATGGATTCTCTATTATAAAACAAATAGAGAAGCCTTGACTGTGCTCTGTTCTGTTATAAAGCACTTAGGAAGCGGCTAGAGCACTCAAGAAGTGGGGCGAAACACTCGACTACGTCAAGGCTACCACAGTCAAGGCTTCTCTATTTGTTAAATAATCGACAAGAATCGATCGTACTACAAATGCACGATTTGTGGCCGAAAGTTTCCGAGGAAACCAAGACTCAAAACCCATTTGAGTTGTGTTCATGGCAAAGGTGAGAAATATAACACAAGCCAATCACAATTTTGAATGCGATCACAGATCGTCTTTTACCCTCATTTTTACAAAAGAAGGATACCAAATTAGGGAGTCTAAGAGATACACGGATGATCCCAGTGTACCAGTACCTAAATCAACAAAGCTTGACCGTAACAAGCGTTCAGGAACACGTTCTAACACCGCCATCTCGATTCCTCAGTCAGTCGTTTCCATTGAACTTAAAGCAGTGGTGACAACAGAATAGAGTGCGTCTCATAAAGGAGAAACATTTGTACAAGAGACAGAAGCAACTATATGCGATTACAGAGGTGCGTTGGAACTCTGGTCCACAAATGGTTATGCAATGTCCGATGTATAAAACAATAATTTGTTGATAGCTGATAGACAGAGAAGAACAACAATTAAACTTTAGAGCTGTTATTATTCAAGTGTCACTTGCACTTTTTATTTGTATATAAAGAAGGACTTGTATTTTGCACTAGAAATAAAGAGAAGTAATATTTTTTGGGAGATCCAGTGATTGGGACATTTAAGAAATTAAGTTACGACAGGAAACTCGGTTTGTACTTCTCACTAGTCTAAAAAGTCTTGAATTAAAAATATTTTCAGATCAGAGTTTCAAAAGGTGTTTTTTCTCAAAGGGAACAGTGACTACCTCTGTCTTGTCTGCATGCCAAATGTTTGTGAAGTGTGTGGATGATCCACAAGTATTCGAACTCTTATAAAAATGTTTTGTTAAAATAAAATCATGCAAAACAAATTACAGCAATCAGTCAGAAAAACAGAGCAAAAAACTAAATAAATAAAAAAAAAGAACAGTAACAACAATCATGAAAAAAGAAAGATTAATCAGGTGTTGAATTTGTTTGTCCAAGGCATGAAATTTCTACTAAAAATAATGTCAACAAAAAGTCTCTGACACTGTTTGAGGCAACTGAGCTTGACTGTTCCAAGGTTTTCTAACAAAGTCAACTAGTAATGTAGGTTAGGGAAGTAACTTATGTTCATAACTAACAAAGTTCTTTAAGTGTAGATAACAATTTAATCATTGTTACACATGTGGAAGTTGTGTACCAAGGAACAGCTAATGAATGTTTGAGGATTTTGGCACATTTTTGAACATGAGACATTTTGTATCACAATAAAAACTTTTATGATCATGGAATCCAAGAGTCCTTTAAGGTTAGAAAGCAAATCAGTGATATGAATACATTTGATTAATTGACAATTTGCATTTAACGTAATTGACTGCTGCTTCATGATAAAATCCATATTAACATAGAGATTTACTTAAAACTTAGTTTAAATAATAAATTCATGATCTTTCAGTTATAAACATATACATGTATGTCTATCTCGTGGTAAATTTTGTGTAGCATACCTTTAATTGAGCCAAAGTTTTAAGCCTCTAAAATTACTCCTCGTCTTAAAACCTTCACATTTAAGGTATTAAGAATTTCTTGGAATTTAAGTGGACCTCAGGGTATTTAAATTACCTCTAATTCAATTCCCAGAAATTCCCAAGAATTCCACCCTTCTTAAATTATAGGTAGTTTCTATAGCTGAGAATTCCTAGGAATTCCTAGGAATTCCAAGTCCTCACAAAACTGGAGTCTTCCTTTCCCAGAAATTCCCAGTAATTCCAAGCTTTTCAAATCAGAGCTTATTTGCATAGTTAGGAATTTTTGAGAATTCCCAGAAAACTGGGTATTCAGTTCGCAAGGGTTATTCAGGTCGAAGTCATCATCCTGATTGAACACCAAACTCTTGAAACTTATTTACAGGGAAAAATGTGGCGGCCATAGGGGAGAATTAACAATTACCAACAACTAAATGGTATAGGGGGAGCTAGTAACAATTACAAAGCCTGCAGCTGAGAGAGCTATTATATTAGATATAAAAATATTGAATGGCACTCCATATAATCCATTTAGTAAAGTACTGGTAGTAATTTTTATTGTATGGCAAAAGATAATGATTCCTAAAGTCTTTCATTGCCCCAAGGACTACTAAAAGGAGATAGTTACAATTTGTACGAAAACTGAATGGGACCAAATATTGTGATAAAAAGATGCATGTACTCATAACTTCATACAGGTGTACATGCTCTTTTTTCCTAATGTGGCTCTGATTCTGGCAGAATCTGAGTTTGATTAGTGTTGCATCTTCGAATTTACCTGCAGACATTGGAGGAAATGTGATTAATATAACCATTGTCATCACCAGTGAAAGTTGTACTGATGGAAAATACAACCAATCCTCATCACTGATGAAACTCAAAGAACTGGTAAACATTTTTATTGGTCAACAGTGCAGTATTTTATCTTATTCAGCTTTTTCTCTTAGTACTATTTCTTCTGCTGCTGCAGTATAATATTACATGCAAATCACATAAGGAGCTTAAGTGTTGATGTGCTATTTGCTTCGCATTTAATTCAGTGTCACTTAAACATTCTAACAAAGCCTATGCATGTAGTGCACTGATATACATGCCATAACAATTTTATTCCTTTCATTGAAGAGACATATGTTTATCTGATTTCATGTTTGTGTTTGAAGGTAATTGATAAACTATTTTGATATGATGTTCATTTGCACTGTTCTATTGGTGCCTATATGGTTCTTATAGATGAAAGTGGTCTTTGTTAGTAGACCTGGTTACAGGAGTGTGGAGTTGAAAAGTGGAATCAGGTTTGTAAACTGCTTGGATCATCAGTTTCTTAGTTTTAATTTTCAAATTTCTAACGCACTTAAATTTATTTGAATTGATCTTGATCATCTTATGTCTGTATCAAGGTGTGGAAGTTTAACTGTTGACCTAGCACTAGTATTCAACTCCACAACAAGAGAGCAAGATGTTATTAGATTTCTTTGGAATGCTGCCAAAGATGGGAAACTTGGACAGTTCGATGTAAGTGCCATACACAGGACAAGATCTTCGGTTGATTTCGAAATTGGAACAACTGCAGCAGCAGGCACAGTGATATCACCTGGAAGTAAGTTTTGTTAATTTTTGCTATCTATTAAATGTGCAAACTTTTTGATATGAATCAATTCATTTGTGGTACATATTTCACAGAAATCTGAATCCATGATATGCTCTTCAGTGGAAAGTTATTGGAATTTGATATCACATTGTAATCATGGGAAACAAAAACGCCGTTTACACTCTATGTTCGGCATTCATGTGAAATATCCCTGTTGTATATTTTATCCATAGTATGAGTAGGAAAAGCGTCGTGAAACGGTAGAGCGGAGGATTGCCGACATTTAGTTTGTGGCGACATATCTATCATGTGTTGTTCTTTTCCGCATATTTTCAAGGTGCCACAGGGATTATTGTTGGTGCAGTGGTTGGATCAGTTGCCACAGTGGCTGTAGCTGTTGGAATATTTGTTTTTTTCGTATGGAAGTCAAGAAGGCGTCGCAGCAAGAAATCGAATAGTAAGAATTGTGTTTCTGACAACATTGGGTCCCACGTATAGGATAGGTATAGGATATTTTAGGATGTATGGTAGCACCTGGCAATTAATTATAAGGGCTGCTTGTGTTTTTACATAGCTTCATTTAAACACAAGAAAGGTAAACACGGAAAAAGTTCAATTTTGCGCATAGATTATGTAATATCTGCGAATCTTAAGCGTCACAACTGTGATTACATGCGTGAGTACTAAAACATGGAACGACCTAAAACCACCTACAACCACCTACAACCACCTCAAAAATTTCAACAACCACCTACAACCACCTCAAAAACATCTACAGCCCCTCGCAAACTATCTAAAACCATCTAAAACAAGGCATGAATGTCTAAAATAAGGCGAGACGGTAACATGTCACGTACATGAAATACGAAAATCGAACGAAACTTCCACCTCCCCCATGTATAATCAACCATCTCACGAAATAAAATGCGAGAGTATGCTAATTATATTTTATATTCCTTCAGTAGCAAAAGACTTAAAGAACTTTACAAAATGAACTATCAAGTTGCAAAAAATAATAAAGTAAAATGACAAACTCGTAGTCAAAAGACTGACTTGACCTGGCTTTTTCTACCCTGGGTACCAGCAGACGTTTTGGCTCACGTCTAGAAAAAGTATGAGTAAGAATGGTCATTAAAAATATTTTAAGCGAATCTGTGCGTACCTTTGGGATCTTCCTTTGGCACGAACGCCATCGTGCTGGCATTCATACAGCATACAGCTGCACAAGTGGTGCCACTTACGCAATAGTGACTCACGTTTTGCTCCAATTACATTTCCAGTGCTGAGACTATAAATGGAGAAAAACACTGCCTTGGACCATTACGTAATCAAATGTAATGTGAGCCAAAACGTCTGCTAGTTAAGTTCTCCAAGTCTTTTACTACTGTGCAGGCTGATTACTGTGGTAATTAAAAAATATAAAATATAATTGGCATGCTCTCGCATTTCATTTCGTGAGATGGTCGATTGTACAAGGGACCAGGGAGAGTAAGATTTCAGGGGTAGGTGGAGGTTTCGTTTGATTCTCGTATTTCATGTACGTGACTTGTCGTCTCGCCTTATTTTAGACGTTTATACTTTGTTTTAGATGGTTTTAGATAGTTTGCGAGGGGCTGTAGATGTTTTTGACGTGGTTGTAGGTGGTTGTTGAAATTTTTGAGGTGGTTGTAGGTAGTTTTAGGTGGCTGTAGGTGGTTGTAGGTGATCATCCATGTATAATTAAATTTCAGAGGACATTATTCGGCATTGCCCTCGAATTCATTTCTTCCTTTCTCTTTACATACTTTCTGCGCTTATTTTTCTTTCTATTCTGCTTCCTCATCATACTTTGTTGATGGTTTTTTTTCATCGTTTTAGGGACAGCAAAAAGAGAGAGGTGAGATAAATTATTGTCCATTTTCATGGTTTATTCACATTTAGATTTTGTTACCAATGGGTACTGTTTGCAACTGTGAACTTCTCCTTTTGCTTTTCACATGCATCACAGTAGTTAAGTTCAGCTTACGTACTTCATCTAGGCGTTAATTACCTAGAGTATCTTTGACTTAATACCTTTAACACTACACACCACGCCTTATAGGTGTGAAAAAACTTGCTATGCGGATATTATGTTCTGCATCTATAGGAAAGTAATGAAGTATCATCGTTACTAATCGCTTCTCTCTTCAAGCTTTGGCTGTTTATGAAACCTGCTTTTATTTGAGCTAATAGCTCAAAGCAAAATGTGGCATGCTGTCGCTAATGTCTTAAACATCCAGTTTTTATTGCTTTTCCGTCAGAGCTTACCCTGATGTTCCATCCCTTTGGCATTTGAGATTTGCGGCAAAGATATCAATTTTATATATGTGAATTTTTCACTATCTTAGGAGATTTGGAAAATCAACGGAAGAAAGAGGAATTTGTGATGTAAGTGGTCTCTCTATTTAACCCTGTACACCCTAACATCATTATGCATATTCTCCATACCGTTTTCTATACATTTCCAAGGTTCTAACAAGAAGAATTTGTAAAACCATCAAGAGCTTCGTTAGTTGTTAATCATTTCCTTTATTCTCGTGAATTAAACATTTGATTCAAGGGATAGATTATAAAGAGAAATTAGAACCTTGTCACTCTTAGGATTAACGAGCTAAACAGTGTAGGATACTACTGTTCAATCAAGCTCAATGTTGTGCTTTTCTCCTTTGAGTTGTGGTGGCCTTAATCTAAGAAATGCGCTATATCATTTACTATGCGAAAGCTTCTCCAGTAATAAATCCAATTAGTTTTTGTGTCTTTCGACAAACGCTAACCAGCTGAACAAATAGAAAGTTCAATACGAACTTAGGCGATATTAAGTGCACTTTTTGAAGATGAATGCCCAAAGATATTTGTACCCAGTAAAGTTTAATTTATGATCATTAAATTTCCGAAGACAAAATGTCATTTGCACTTTGAGTAAAAGAAAGTAAATTGTTGCCATGAAGTTGCTTTTGCATGGTAATTATACAAATGAAAGACAGAATGTTTAGAGTGGTAGTTTTAAGTTAGTTTATATGTATAATTAAGTATATTGAGAAGGCAGTTGTTTAGAAAATGTGTAATACCTTTAAGCAGAGCCGTGGTTTATGATTACGTTTCTTACTTAAAAAATGATTAGACTGAGCTTGAAAAGCCTCAAGGTCAGCAGTACATGGCATTGGATGAGAGGGCTCGACGCGCTGAACCAGTCAGTGAATACGCCTCTTTAAATCCATCTACACGCTATTGGGAGATTCCTACAGAGCACGTGACTATAGAAAGATCGTTGGTAAAGGTGCTTTTGGTCAGGTTGCCAAAGCAACAGTCATAGGCCTCCACGGAAGACTAAAGAAGACACTTGTGGCTGTCAAGATGTTGAAAGGTATCAAGTACTTCAAATGAGTTCTTGCATTTCTGTAAAGTTCCAGAGGTAAAAAACCCCACCCTCCCCCCTCAAAAAAAAGGTAGCGCCTTGAAAGAAGCAAATCAAACTCAACCTCCCCGCATCTGATGTGGAGACTTAGGTCATTTTAGTGTTATATTTTTTCTTCTATCAGTTTTCAAGTAAACGTGATTTCATTAGGTTGACCATGATAATCAAGGCACTTTACGATAAGGTATCGCTTATTAATCCAAATGAAACCGCAATTCCACCTTAATTTCGCCAAGAGCCTTTCGTCTAAAAAGTTTTTTTATGTTATTAGTGATCAGACCCCCGTTCTACCCACTCCAAAGTAGCAAACCTCAAAGACTGATATTCCGACTTAAAAAAGAAGGATGTCGCTTCGTTCGTGATTTATTTTCAGTTGAAAAAGGTTGCAGGTGTTTTAGCTGAGCATATACCGCTCACTTTTTTTTTGTTAAAAACAAATTGAGTTCAATATCTCTAAATATTTATTAAACTGCAGTCACTGGGATGGAAGTAGAATGTAGGATTTTGTCATTGTCTTTTTTTTACTCTGAATACAGTGTTTTATTTAGTAACGGTAGAGTGTAACTGAACTTAACATTTTGGCTGCACCAGGATTTACTTCTGACCTGATAACTTTAATGATGATGCTCAACCTCTAAGCTACACAGAGCTCAGTATGAGATAGGATATATACTAATTATTTTGGTTCAGTAACTGTGATTGCTTGTAAAGGTAACAGCTTTTGGGTGATCATCTTGCAGCTGACGCTTCTGCATTAGAGAGGAAGGACTTATTGTCCGAACTTGATTTGATGAAGCAACTAGCGCCTCATCCTCATGTCATTAAACTACTGGGATGTGTCACAAAATCTGGTAAATATGGAAAAGTATACTTCAATAGCCCATAAAATTATCTTCGAGTAAATACCTAGTTCTTCAGAGACATGTCATTCACCGCTCGAACGTTTTCTTCGGAAACACAAACTTGGGGTAAATTTACACATGCTCCTTTTCCATTCGGCTCTTAGTTATTTTGTGTAATCTTCGGTCAACGACCTCTAATTACCAGGTATGGTTGTCGGTTTCCTTAATGCTAAACGTTCTTTCTTGTCATCGTGAAATATCCCATATATTCTGAGTGAATTGAAAATACATCTATCTTGCAATAGGGCCATTAATGGTATTGATTGAATATGTTCCATATGGGGATCTGCTTGGTTACCTGAGAAAGAGCCGTGGATTAAACGACACTTACTACAAAGACCCGGACGTCAAGCCACAAACAAATCTGACATCGCAGCAGCTGATGAAATTTGCGTGGCAAGTTGCCGATGGAATGTCGTATTTGTCATCGATATCAGTAAGTACACACTATGGGCCGGTTATTTTAACAAAGCTTAGCTGTTCTTTCACAAAACCACGTTCTAAAACTATCTAACCTGAAAATTCTACCTGAACATTCATAATTGTCAAAAAAATCAACCCTTTTACGGAGAAAGCCCAGTGACTGCGTAAAACCGCGGTTTAGGTTAGACTTCGTGTAAATAACCGGCCCCATACATTTAGTTTGAGAACTTACAGATTGCCCATCTTACTTAAAACGGACCCTCGTGGCAATTCTTTTTTCAATTCTCTCGCATCCTCCCAAGTCGTTCCAACATCAATAATTTGTTGAGCTTTGCTATAGATTATCCATCGAGACCTTGCAGCTCGTAATGTGTTGATTGGAGAAGGGGAAATGTGTAAAGTGACAGACTTTGGCATGGCCAGAGATGTCCAAGAGGACAACATTTATCAACGGAAGTCAAAGGTACCAAACGATTTTAAGCTGATAATTATGTTGAAATTAATGTAAATTTGTATGAGTGTCTGCGGTTTTAACTTTACATAGGTCATGGGCTCTCTCGGCTTCTTTTTCTAACACATTAAATCACTGCTAGGACTGCTTCAGTTAGCTAGAGATCTGTCTACAGTCTTGCATTGGTTAAGTTGCATTTATCCTTGATCATGATCTTTTTAATATCCTTAATCATGATCTTTCTAATTTAGGGGCGTCTCCCTGTCAAATGGACTGCCATTGAGGCATTGCTGTACGGAAAATATTCCACAAAGAGCGATGTGTGAGTACAAGGACTTCATAAGGTCTATAAGCAAAATGGGAAAAGTTATTGGATGTCTTCTGTATGTTAGGTATTGCATTTTTTTTTAATTGATGTGGAGATGTGGAGGAATCTTATTATGAAGGAGTGGTAATACTCGTTCTGGCTTAGATTTGTGAGTAATGTCCCAGGTTCTGCTCTTGTAACGGGTCTAGTGAGCTTCCCACGAAGAAGTTTCATTTACTTTTTTTTTTAACAGTACGGAAGAGAACGTTTATTTTCCTTCCTCGTTTGTTCTACAGGTGGAGCTACGGAGTTCTCCTCTATGAGATTTTCACGATTGGTAAGTTGTGAGATTAATGACCAGACCATTAATTTTAGCGTCAACGTGTCAACAAAAGTGGCACTTGTATCGACATGTGGTCATAAAGTAAGCAGGGTGTACCGTTCTCTGAGGAATTCGGTTTTGCCTTTGTGATTTGTAACTGCCAAGCCACCTTAGATTGCCTCAGTCGCTGAACTTATTCGAAAAAGACAAAGGAACAATGGTGTAGGAATTATATTGTAAAAATATATTTACAAGTGTTGGGCCCTTCTTGAAAGAGTGCATTGAGAGTACCTGCTTTATTTTAGGTGGTTCACCTTATCCAAGGATGGATGGAAGAAAAATTGCAAAGTTGCTAGAGGAGGGATACAGAATGCCTAAACCACAACATGTGGATGAGAAGTTGTATGAAGATTGTGTTGTTGTTTTTTTTCGTTGCCTTTTCTCTTACAGCAGTAATATTTATTTTAAATGTTCTTTTTGCTAAAGAGGCATGCACAGCCAAAATTAAACCCGTTTTATTTTCCGAGCCAGCCTTCTTAAGGAAAATATTGGAATGAGTCAATGATCACGAGTTTGTCTCTTGTGGTGATTGAAGAAAGAAGCAAACTGTCCTACCGTATATGCAACATTTTATGTCTAACAATATCCTAACTGAGGCCAGTGAGAACATACTGAGATATCCTTGACGTCTTTGTGTTTAAGGTATAAAATAATGGCAAACTGTTGGAAAGACGAGCCTCACTTGAGACCATCTTTTGAGAAGTTGAGAAACGAACTCAAAGAAATGGAAAACCAGCACAAGGTAGGTTTGTGGAGTTAACTGTGATCGTTCAAAGTTTTATCTGACTTTCGTAAACTTACAATCGTGGAATATCGTTAGTTTAAAGTCAGCAGATTTTGTGTATTTTAATTTATAACGAAAATTACTGGAGTTTCGAAGCTACTTTATCTAAATTATGAGGTAAAAATAATGGATCAGAATTCCAGCGAGTATTCTTGTACAAGTTTTAAAGCTTGTTCTGAAAACATGGAAAGGGGATTGATTTTGTGTTTCAAGATATTCTCTGAATCCATCAGTGAAAACCCAAAGAAAATGCTAGGTTGTATTTAGTTAATACCAATAAGCTCCTTTGAACGGTCAGTTGGGTCTGTAAACAAGCACACTGATATTCTTTGCCTTTTTCTATTCCTTTTTTTGATGTACCACTGTCAAATGCATGTAATAATGGCGTCACTATGAAGTGTTCGAAAGTTGCATGTCTATTTTATTTCGGTTATTTCCAAGTATAATATCATCACCAACATGCTCTTCACAAACGATAAAAAGTCATTTTAAATGGGGCCTTTATAGCGAGCGATTAAGATTTTCTAATTTTTACCCCTTTTTTCGCAGGGGCTGATAAACTTAAACAATTACGACGGTCGACTCTACGTTAATGTTGACGATCTTGCTGTGTAAGCGATTGCATTCTCATGGAGCAAAGGATGGAGTGATAAATCTTGCAGCGCTATGATATGCAATTTCCCTGTGTATTTGAAGTTAAACTTTCATTCTATGTTAATACAAAACAAGCTATTGAACAGTGAAGCGAGGAACAGCTGTATAGTTTTTTTAAAACTTTATGTTGAAAAGACAAATGATTTTTTGGAAAAGCATATCAAAGTAACTTTTTATCGGTGATAAAAATTAAAATTAATTTTTGAGAGTAAACATCTATTTTCGTGTAAAGTGTTAAAAAAAGGAAAATTGTTTCAATTGTCTCTTTTTCGGAGGCTAAAATAAATGACAAAATATGAAAAGACACTTAGTATAGTGAACGTAAAAGATTAACTATTGAGGAACCCACTCTATTGATCAGAAATTTTTTGTTACTTATGTAATTCAGTGCGAAGGCTGAGAAGCCCGACTAAGCCCCAAGGAAACGGCAATTCCTTTTGCTTTGCTCTTCTTGCAAATGATCATCAGTCCTTGGGGAACTTATAACAATAATAAGTGTTGCTATGACAAATTTATTTGAAGGTTGTTTTTTTTTTAATTGCACTCTTAATTACAGGAATTGTTTATTAAGCTAATGATTGAACAAAAGTATTTTTCTTTTGTTATTTAAACGGTTGCTTTTCGCTCAAATTTTCATGTTAGTTTGATACATTTTCGGGATCAATATCAGTATCTAAGCAACTGCCCCTCCCCTAACCCAACAACAGTCTATTGATAACAAGTTAGGGTTAATGTTGGGTTAGGGGAGGGGTAGGTGGGCAGTTGCACAGATACTGATATTGATCCCATTTTTCTGTGTGTGCGTAACCGTCGGAAAGCGCGGAATAAAGTTTGTGAGTTGTACAACGTCGTAAAAATTAATAAATAGTTTTCATTTGTGACCATAATGGGGCGTTGAAGTCTTGAGCGGCATCCTCTGTTTGAGAATCCCATTTCCACATTGACCAAATCAAGGATGAATAAGTATTCTGGTTCGTGGCGAGAAGAACTGGCCAAGATAACACTGATCGTCACTGCCCACGTAAAATTGCGCATAGAAAAATGCAACTACATCACAGTATAGTTTCCATGAACATCAAGATGAACCGATGAGGAACGCCAATTATAAGATAGCGGTCATTTTCGCTTAGGCGAAATCTTAGACTCTCAGGAATACGTCACATTCTCTCTTCTAGCAAGTAAACATCAATTATTGGGGAGTTTATCAGAAACTTTCAGGGTAGTATGAAATTTGAGACCGGTTTTTCGATAAGGTCTAATTTGGTGTACGTCATAGTTTGAAGCCTTTCAAAGGTTTGGATGGCCACTTTGATCCTACTTCATTAGCTCTGATCAAAGGCTCTCAAACGCTCTTCAACGAAATTCGTGTCTTTATGTATTTATCATTGCTTGTGTTTGAAAACGGCAATGGCCGCTAAAAGACCTAAAAGGCCTATCATTGTGTGAAGTGTATTGCGTTACATAGCGTTACTATTTTAAAGTCTTATAAGGACATCTCCTACTACCTCAGTTATATTGTATGTCTTTTTTCCTTGTAAAATGACGGATCACAAGTATCGAATGGTAAATATATTACCTTAAACACTGAATTAAGGACGGTTAAAGTAGACCAATGAAAGGAGTCACTTGATCTATGAATACTCTATATTCTGCAAGGCGACATCATCCATGCCTCCATACATGTCTAATACACACTCATAGATTCCGATGGAAAACGTGGTTTTTCGATTTAATAGGCAAAATTCCATTTGTGACACCTTCTAACGGAAGAAAACAGTTCGGCAGGTCAAAATTTTTGCCTGGAGTTTTTAAGTCTCTAATACAGAACCTGAAAGTGAAAAGTTCAGTGAAATCCAGCCGAACTGATGCTCATAAAAACACGCGAGTTTTTTCACATGACAGTTAGAAAACAACTGTTCAAGGCTTGTACTTCATGAACGAAGGCCAGCCGAACTCACTGGAACATAAAGGTTGCTCGGGATGACCCAAAGGAAAGAATAATATAACAAGCGGTTAGCTGTTCACTTGAAGGGCGGCCGATTTAATCTCCGAGGTTTGCTTCACTGCGATGACCGGAGATTGCCATAATAAGCTGAGCTAGCCGCGATGGACTGCAGCATGATCGCTGAGTCGCTCTGACGCCGTTATGATTAGTGTGAATTTTAAAAGTTATGCCAGTTTGGCTATATTTTTCATCACTCCTGTTTTGTTCTGTATTTTTTGAACACGAAACTATATATACTATCGGAGTGTTAGCTGTATTTGATTTTTATTGCCGTACGTGAGCTTGCAATGAAACTGGTGACCAATCTAACCGAGCTTGAGAACCTCCAAAACTCGGACTGCCCATTTCGTTTCCTCTTTGAGGATTTTCGTCTCTGGTAACGTTTACGCAAGTTACGGCGCTTAGCAAGTTTACAAACCTTTGCTTGGTTCTTTTGTTGTTACTTGCCGGCTCGCTCGTTCCGAAATTCCACTTTAAACGTTTAACGAAAAAAACAAAGCTTGAGAGAAGTCCGGGAAATGGTCAGACGTAGAACAATTTGACAGGTGGCATGACAGCTTTAGCTCAGCTCTATGTTTTACCTTATGATAGAGCACGCGCTTTCAATCAATGACAGCGCGCGTCATGTCCGAACTTTCGAATAATTCTCTTTTGTGCAGTACGTTTTAAGGTGATATCTCCTCATCTGTATGTTCCTTATGAAGGGAAAGCCGGATGAGATTGTGCAAGAGAAAAGAAACATTTCTTTGTGCTGTTAACCTGTCTCTTCGGCAGAAATGGCTTCTGAGTTATACTCCTCAAAACCGTCATTTGGGTATCCTCCATTCTTAAAGCGTACTTTGAAACTCTATACACTTTTTATTAAAGGTGGAGCGTGACGAATTCGTTTTTAAGAGGTGCAGCGCTTCTCTTTTTACGAATTCTTTATTTGCGCCTGATGGATGAAACGAATAAAAATTCGTGTATTAGAAGGTCTTTCTCTCTTTGTGGTGCGCTTGCACGTTAAGGGTCGATTCCCAGTTGAATATCTTTCGTCTAGGAACGTAATTTCTGACTTTGATATTTTTACAGCTGGTGTCTCAGCAAGACTACAATTTGGATTCTATCTGAATCTCGTCAGGTTTCTCCTAAGAATGAATTTGTCACGAAGGAACGTCTGGAGTCGCGTAGCCCCGTCAACACTTTTTAACTTTCGAAGGATCGGCAACAAACAGTCAATTTTCATTACATTCCACGTATTCGCGCTATTCTAGCTGCCTCAGAAGATGTTCACTCGACTGCCACAGGATGCAAATATTTTACTTTTCTTTTACGACCATGATGCAAAGTAACCAGCGTGCACACATCGCCTGGCTCCACCCAGTTCTGTGGCTTCAGTTTCAGACCAATCCATCTACTCCCCAAAAAAAAAAAAAAAAAAAAATCTGCTATTGATCGAAAATGAAATTTATACTTTTCTCCTTAATCCTTAATAATGAAGTTATTTCGTGCTACTTTAGTTCTTTGGCTAATTGCTATTTTGCGCGGAGTATCAGGAGAAGCAGGTAAGAGTTCGCATTGGACGACAGAGAGATGTTTCAGTCCCAGAGTTAACCTTTTAATTACGTTCAGCAAGCAGTTAAGTTCGACAAGTTCTGCCGCGCTACACGACTCTGGTGCGAAAGCGATTCAAACTGCGGAGCCAAACAAAATTCATAAAAACATGATTATATATTTTTGCGCGACTGTGCTCCCGCGGGGTGTTACGACAATTACTTCTTACTTAACATTAGTGCGAACTTCTCTGTGCCACACTTTTGAGCGTTAACTAGGCTACCCGTGTTAAATGATAGAAGTAGAATGCTATTGAAGGCGATTACATTTTTTTTCTCACCGTTTATGACTCGAGGGCGAGGGTAGAGAGCCTCCCATGAACCGATGCTATAACTGTTGATACCTCGCTCGAGGCTGAGAGTCTAACATGTACACTCTAGAGAATGGGCTTTGACGAAAAACTCGATCTTTAAGAGGGGCGTTTCGGCTGATACTTCAACCCTATCTCAGCATAGATTCGGGGAATTTAAATATCATGCGAATTTGGAGTTTAATGAGATCGAAGGATCAACGTGAATGACCTATCTCTACTTCTCATGATTCATATGTCTGGATACAGACCACATATTTTTAGGCTGTTATGTGTTGAGCTTCAAAACAACTTCAACTGGATATCCGCCAAGTGATTTATGTCAAAAAGAAATACAGTATATACAGAAGCTAGAGAGGAGTCCTGGCCGATGAATGGATATTTTAGAGATTGGCAGATGGCGTAACAGCATTAGCTCAGCTCCGTTTTTTTTTTTACTCTGATAAAGCACGCTATTTCAAGCAATGACATCGCACATTATATCAGAACTTTATTGTAAAATAGTTTATAACATTCCTCTGCAGAAACTCTTATTGAGAGACCAGCTGAACCAGTTCCTTGGTACTGGTATATCGTACACGAAAGTACAGAAGGAAGAGGGGTGAGTTACTTGATTTTAGTAGCCCATGTCATGAAAACCTCTCTTCCGTGTACTATTAAACATTAACTTTATCACTATTAGGTACATGTATACATGTTTTGTAACAGTAATTCCCACTTATCAAGGAAATCAAGGTAGTAGTTAAAAAAACTGGCAAAGGAAGCAAGCCATGGGCGTTTGAAATCCAAGTTAATGTGGGTAGGAAGATCTTTAGGGAGAAAACATGAGCCCAGAGAGACTAGCGCATACACAGTTCATGAACAGTAAGTGATCTAAAACTTTTGCATCTCAAGTCTCTTCGTTACTCAAACCAATGATAATTTCCCACGATTTGGTCCAGGCATGTACTGTATTCTTGTTAAGATAAGGCATATCTTATGTGGTAAATATTGCAGAACAAGCACATTCGCTGCATTTGAAGTAGATTGGATTATTGTAGATTCTTGATTTGCGTTGAAAACAGTGAAAGTATATTATTAGATAATTAGATTTTGTTCTTCTAGAATTATTGATGTTGAACACAGTTAAAGTATTAGCCCATCTCATAATGCTCCATAGTTGCCTAGTATATGTGCAGATATTCCTAGTAAAGCGTACCTTCAGTACATGCATGTTTTGCATAGACCATCTCTTTTGGTGTAAATATTTTACTACTTCATGATTGATCAAAAAATTTTTTTATTTTCTTGCAGTGGACACATCCTTCAAATGTATCGCCATATTACTCAGTCTGTGACGCTTCTAACAAATATGAGATACCAGAGAACTGGTTAATAACAGACTTTATTAACATCAAGGATGCTACACGACTCGATATTGAAGTGACCTATACCCTCCTTAACTGCCCCTTAGCTGACGTGGGGCCATTCTGTAGAAAAAACTTCTCTCTGTATTCTTATCATACTGATTTCAAATATAATCCAGACCCAAAAAAACTAAATTTCCTCAAAGAAACTGTGATAACTCCAAAAATTCTTCCTATACCTGGGGAGCGCACAACAGACACATTTGATGGGTCAATAATAACAAAAGCGAAGGGAATTTATTTAGCATTATTAGACCAAGGAACCTGCTTGACAATAAGAAGGTTTGTTTTAAGATATCGTTTCTGCTCTGAAACGGTCCCTTCCAAGTTGGTTAGATTTCCAAGAACACTTGCCCCAGCAAATGAGATCAATCTAACCAAACAAGAAGGAGAATGTACAGATCCTAACGCGATTAAGAAAAACAACAAAACGTTATTTGCCGTGTGCCTTAGTAATGGGGAGTGGAACATAACAGATAACTCAGCCTGCCTTTGCAGTAATGGTTATGAGTTGACGCATGGATCTTCAGACTCTTTCACATGCAAAGGTTAGTGGTGCACTTGAAACCTGGCTTTGCCTCTGAAGCTTTAAGTCCAAAGTAAATATTTAATCATTTAAATGGTTCAATATCTAAATTACAACCCCGTTTGTTCATATTTGATAGGAAGCTTATTAAAGGTTCGATGCATAACTTTCATGAAATTGGACTGTGTAGCCATACTTCGTATGTTCACATAAGTCAATCGGTGGACGTAGATAAGTGGCCTAGGATGTATAACCCGAAAGCGAAGACCTAAGAACAAAGAACCCCTTTTGGCTGAGTACCTTTTCGTTTTGCTTCGTCTTCGTATTTTTCGCAGATGGATGCATTTATCTATTGGCCCGTTACGTTCAAATTCTCTGATCACAAATCGTCACCGAATCGATTTATTTTTAGAGCAGACACGTTAAATTTCGACATGGTCTGCGAAGAAAAATACAAATCGTCGAATTCATAAAAAATACAGATCTTCTAATTCTTAAACCCTGCCCCTCCAATTTGTTACTTTGTATTGGTTTATTCTTCATTTCTTTTTTTTAGATATGCAAGAGTAAGAGTGTTTTAGGGTCTTTGTTTTCAGGTCTTAGAGACTTAGGTCTGAGAACCGCAGGTTAGGGGTTACATCAAAAAAAAAACCTGAATGATTAACGAACAGGGAAGCTTTGACTGTGCTCTGTCCTGTTGTTAAGCGGCTGAAGCACGAAAGAAGTGTGGGGAGAAACGTACCTAGACGGGTGTTTCTTCTTTCTTTCTTGTTAAGTACTTTACAACAGAACAGAGCACAGCCAAGGCTTCTCTTATAATAAAGAATCCGTTAAATTCCCTACGCATTACTTTCAATTTTCAAAATAAACTTTCTTTCCAAAGCGAGCAATAGTGCCGTCAGCGTGCTCTATACTCTCATAAAGTACGCTACAATAAGCCGATCAGAATCTCTGTTAGAATGGTTCAAATAATCTGATTTGCTATACAAGACTAAAGCTGTCAAAAGTGTCAAACTACCAACGTTCAAAAACCATCAAAGTTCACATTCTGCGATAGTTTACAAACTGAAATAGTTGGGCTGGTCGAATTTAACACTTTTGCCTGAAGTTTTTAAGTCTCTAATACAGAATCTTAAAGTGAAATGTTCAGTGAATTTCAGCCAAATTAAGACTCATAAAAACACGCGAGGTTTTTCACATGACAAGGTAGAAAATAAACTGTTCAAGGCGAGTGTTTTACGAATGAACGACAGCCGAATTCACCGGAACATGAAGATCGCTTGGGATGACAGCGCCGCAAAACTCGGCCCAATGACTGATGTGACTTTCCACTCAACGCATTTGAAAGGATATCAGATCAAGCTCTTATTTTTTCTATGCGGCCTATGTAGTTTCTGAGGCTTGCTTCACTGCGATGACCGGAGATCACCATGATGAGCGAGCCGCGATGGACCTCACCATGATCATATTCGCTCTGACACTGTCATGAATAGTATGAATTTTAACAGTTATGCCAGTTTGGTTATATTTTTCATTTCTGTTTTTTTCTGTTTTGTTTTTGAACACAAAACTTTATATACTACACGAGTGTTAGCTGTGTTTGATATTTATTACCGTACGTAAGCTTGCAATCTAACTGGGCGTGAAAATCTTTAAAACTCGGACTGTCTATTTTGTTTTTCCTTTGAGGGTTTTCGTCTCTGCCTACGTTTTAATAACGTGAATTACGGCACCTTGCATGTTTTCAAATCTTTGCTTGGTTCTTCTGTGGCTACATGCCGGCTCGCTTGTTCAGAAATTTCACTTTAGTCCACAAACCATCGAAGTTCACAATCTGCAATAATTTACAATTGACATAGTTCGGCAGGTCGAATTGAACACGTTTGCCTAAAGTTTTTCTAGTCTCTAATACAGAATCTGGAAGTGAAATGTTCACTGAAATCCGGCCGGATTGTGGCTGATAAAAACAAGTGCAAGGCGTGTGTTTTATGAATGAAAAACAGCCGAACTCACAAGAACATAGAGATTTATTGGGATGACAGTACCGTAACACTTGCCTGCTGTGAGTGATGAGGCCTTCCACTTAAACCATCGGAAAGGATATCAGAGCAAGCTCTTAGTTGTTCACTCAAAGTGCGGCCGAGCTTGCAATCTAACTGAGCGTGAAAACCTTAAAAACTCGGATTGTCCATATTGTTTTCTCTTTGAGGATTTTCGTCTCTGCTCACGTTATCATAATGTAAATTACGGCGCTCGGCATGTTTTTAATCTTTATTTAGTTCTTCTGTTGTTATTTGCCGGCTCGTTTGTTCCGAGATTTCACTTTCATTTAACGCAAAAAGCTCTCAGTCAGGAGTGCTGCTAGTTGTAACTGGCATTTAGCAGTTACGGAGAAAAGTTTTGGTATAGCCATTTGCCTTTAGGACATTAGAAACATATTTTCTCTCCTCAGCCTTCGAAACGAGTGGAGATGGTAGACAGTGTGAACTGTGAACTGAGAGTCATTAGGAGTGAAGACAAAAGAGTTGTCTTGGTAACCAAGCCTCTGGCGATCAATAGTGCCTAGGTTATCATATTGGCCGTGTTCAATTTCGCGTTATCGTGGACCGAGTTTTGACTCCCTTCAGCCGCGTTTTACGACTTCATCGCCAACATTGTCCAAGAATATCTGCTTCACGCACTTCCTTTTCTTGTGCTGAGCAAAAAAAAGCGGTTAATCCTGAGCCCGTTCGGGTAGCTAATGAGAAAACGGGATTCGCTTTTTATTGCCCACGGGCTCTGCCAGCGACATAATAACTGTTGTTATGATAAACTAACCTACATGTATCATGCGTGTAAATGCCAGAAAGAAATTAACTAACCAAAAGACCTCTCTTGTCAGGAAATTATGTAAAAGCTTATTGAAAACTGAAATGGCATGCTACTCTTGATACCAATTCCAACATACTGAAACCATAATCACTTGAAACTTTTAATGGATAAACTGTTAGATTTTCGAACCACTTCGTGAAAGCGGTCACCCCTTGGTCCCTGTTTACATTTTAGATAATGGTATTTGCTTATATGCTGGAAAGAAATATTGATCATGATATGCAAAGAAGTTATCAAAATATCAACAAGTCTACGTTCATTTGTCTATCATTGTAATTGTAATGTTTTTTACTTTACGTCCAGTCGTTCCAGTAATTAACATAACCATGGTCTTTACCAATGAAGGTTGTACTAATGGAAAATTCAACCAATCCTCATTAGTGACGAGGCTAAAAAAAGTGGTAACCATTTTTTTGTTTTATCTAGCTATTCATATCTAAATTACTAATATTTCTGCAGTTGCGGTATATTACCTGCAAATCCATGCAATTGCAATTATAGCTTCGGTTGTTTTTCAATTACAGTTAACCGCAATTGAAAAAGAAACTTATTTGAATAAACTCAAACATTCCGAGTGAGTCTGTGCGGTGCTTTCGGATGCATGCTCTGATGTGGTGTTTGAAAGACGTTATTAATTACAAATTGAAAATAAACCATCATTTTTATTCTGTAAACATTGATATGTTTACCTGATTGTGTGGTGATCTTTAAAGGTGCTTTTCGATTTCATGTTCAGTTTGCTGTTGTTTCCATTAACAGATGGAAGAGGCTTTTCCTGGGAGATTTACAGGTCTCAGAAGTGTGCAGTTGAAAAGTGGCATTAGGTTTGTAAACTGCCTGGATTAGCAAATGAATTATAATTTTCTGGATTCTAAGGTGCTCTTCTTTATTTTAACCCTCATATTTTCTCTTAATTAAGGTGTGGAAGAACAACTGTTAACCTAGCACTTAAATTTAATTCCAAAACAAAAGAGCAAGATGTTATTGCAGTACTTCGTAATGCTGCCAAAGATGGAAAGCTTGGAGGCTTCAATGTGAGTGCAACAAAAAGGACAAGATCGCAAGCTGATTTCGACACTGGAACTACAGAAGCAGGCACAGTAACGCTAACTGCTGACAGTAAGTTTTAAGTCTTTTGATACATACACTGTAGTTGACTAGTAGCAAGATTTCACAGGAACGTTTATCCCTCATATGTTCTTCAGTGAAGTGGTTAATTGGAGTGGGATTTAATTACGAGTATATTCAGCATTTGGAACATTCTTCCTATGTAAATGGTATCCACGTCAGCGTACTTTGTTGTATTGATTTGTTAAAACATCATACGTATATAGTCTAGTGTCTCATTCTGCATGACACCGCAAAAGATAAGGGCTGTAGGGTGATAGGATAGGTGAAGTATGAAATAACAAACAAACAGAACAATGGCGCAAACAATAACTTGCAATGCCTTTCTTTCTTAACTCCACCAGCTAATGAGCTAGGGCACAAGATCTCATCCAATAAAAAATCAACTCGTGTATTTTTCAGTGGTACTTTTACATATCTATGATATTTTTTTGATACCGCAAGCAAATGTCGCGAGAACGATAAGCCTTCTGCCCGATGTGGTTAGCATTGATTCCTGCTTGTCTTGGTTCTTTATTCAGACCCTTACATGAATTTTGTAAAGTAATGAATCGTTGCTCTTATTTTGGCAGAATACAAAAAAAAACATATATCACAAGAGCAACAAACTAGGAAAGAAAGCAAAGCATTTGAAATCAGGATCCAACGTTCATTTACTTTATTTTTAGTTCTCACAAAAAATTCGGCACTGATATGATTGAGAAATGATTGAGAAAGTGCTCGTACGTACACGTATGTACTACATACAGGCTTCTTCAATAATTGTAAAGTAACCAGGAAAAGTAATGAAAAATGCTCCCATCGACTGTAGTTCAGTGTAAACCTAAGAAATTTCATTTTGCTGGCTCGTAATTCTAATTATTTTTGAAACATCATAAAGAATAAGTAAGGGAAGGGTACTGGTGGAATAACTGTAATCTAGTTCTCATACTTAGTTGGAGTTCTTCTTGTAGGTATCAACATTACATTTTATTAGGCTTTTAAGTAATTTTACGCGAATTAGATAAAAACTTGTATGCGTAGAGAAAGGCATCAAGACTAAACTGGCTAAGTGGAGAATTGCAAACATATTATTTGTGGAGGCATATATTCATATGTTGTTTTTCTTGTGTTTTCAAGGTGCCCTGGGGATTACTGTTGGTGTGGTGGTTGGATCAATTGCAGCACTGGCGGTTGCTTCAGGAATATTCGTCTTTTTCGTAAGGAAGTTAAGAAAGCGCAACAGCAAGAACTCAAATGGTAAGAGTAGTATTTTAAAATGCCTGCTTTGGAACATAAGAAAAACTGCGTGTTACCAAGCAACTAAGAAGTTTGTGTTGTTTGTAGCCTCATTTAAAAATAAGGCAAGTTTGAAGATTTCGAAACAGTTCTAACAAATCCCTGTTTGTAAGAGGTAAAAAGATGTGTTTGTCTAACTTCGTAATAAAAGATGTAACGAAATTATTAGATCGATTACAAACTTATTAAATTTAAAAAAACTGAAATTCCTGCGCAATGAAAGAACATTGAGGAAAAAAGAACAACTCAATACTACTGCGGAAAACACTGAAAACAAGAGTACGTAAAAGTGTCCGCGTCAATTTTCATTGTCAGGGTCTAAGTCTGTGGAAGCTAGATTGGCTGATATTGTGAAATCACGCGGACCGAACGTGAATACCAAAAGATGTGATTTGAGATTCACAAACTGAAAAAAAAAATTCAACAACAGTAACGTGGTAGGCAAACCCGAGTCTTAAAGCCTCTGAGAGTTTGGGTGAGGTTAGGTGAACACGGCAGATCTCCTGTATGATCTGTTGTGTTCATGAAATACAGACATATCCAAATATTCACGACCGTGATTATATGCCCTCATTTGATCGAGTCTCTATCATTTTAATAATTCGATTATAGCCCTAGACTTAATGACCGCTTTCTGCTTAAATTGTCCATGTATTAAGTGAGATAAATGTCAGAAGACATCATTCTGCATTTCCTTTGTACTATTTTATTACTTTCTCTTTACATACTTTTCAAGCTGGTTTTTCATGTTTTTCATACTTTTTTTTCTGTTTTTTTTTTCTGTTTTGGAATCAGGAAAAAGAGAAAGGTGAGATTTCTAGAACAATGAGTTATCGTCGAATTTCATGTTTTGTTGCAAACTGTGTACAACTGTGAACTTGCCTAATGTTAGCATGGATTATGATAATTATGCTCAGAGCAAGAGTGTCATCTAAAGTCAGTTTCACAAAGCATCCTTAACGTGATGACTTTAAAACTGCTCACGAGTGTGGGCTATCCAGACATAATTATCTTTTCTTAGAGTTTGTCCATCAAAGGAAAGGCGCAGATGCTTAGCTCCTAATGTTTATGATACCTTTTTTGCGCCAATACAGTAGCGAAAAATGTGACATGCTGTAACTAATCATTTCATAGCTAATACTCATGGAGTACCCAGAGGTGTGCTTTCCAGCCGAAAAAATTGTCAACGTGTTTCATCCGATAGAATTTGGATCAGAGAAAAAATATGATATTTTTCTTTAACTTTTAGGAAAAACAGAAAAACAACTGAAGAAATAGGACAAGTCGTTGTAAGTCGCTTGAAGATTTTAACTTTTAACCTTTTTCTGGTACAATACAGTATATCGTTGTTTTTTCCAAGAGGGCACGGTAACGAATCCTTCAATCTGATTGGTTCTTAGCGCAGTCCGGATTTTCCTACCCCTGCCAATGGGCATAGTAACCCTTTTATGGATCGCAGAGTGCATTCCTAGTTTCGTTGCAAATTTTTTCACAAATATACGTTGCCTCACCGGCTAGGCAGCATTTTCAAGCGCAGACTTCGGTCACGATCTCAAGCCGTAAGTTGATTAATTATAATTTGCTCGCTCTTTCTCAAATCAATTTGGTTGCTTGGATTACTGTTCTGAAGTTTGCATAGAAGTCTTTTAAATCACCGTTATCATAACGCAAATAAAAATGTTTCGGTGATGCCTAAATCTTTCATTTGTTTTCTCTACTTTCTACTCGCTAAAAAATTATTCAATTTATGGAGGATCTTGCCTTAATTACAGGTACCCATAGGTTTAAGAACAAAATTATTTAAAGCCTTTTTCGGTCCGTATTGGGAAAACCTGTGCCCTCTGCCTTTTTTTCCCGAAACGGATTGTCTAAGGCTGGTGAATAACATGTATGTACTTTGACAGATATTGGTGATCTAAGTTTATATCATTCTGTCTCAATTGCGAAATTACTATGCAAAAGCACTTTTAATAACACCACTGGAGCTTCATTCTCTTTTAAGCGCGATACGTTTTGTGTCTTTGGATAAAAACTGTACAGTGTTGACAATGTCGTTTGCATTTGATGAAATTATTTATAACCAGCGACGGTTTGTCTTTTAGTCTTCAGTTATTCCTTGTTCACATCTGTTCCACCCTCGCTCTGCGAAGCCATGATGGCATTAATATTCTTTTAAGATGCCTCTAAGGTACATTGCACAACTGATGACAGAGACGAAGCTCAACACCCCGCAAATCTGAACAATCATTAGTGTAATCTGTAGGAAACAGCCGAATAAAAATTAAAGTTTAGTACGCGCAAGCACCTTTTCTCGATTTTTTAAATTTTCAACTGGCGCACTTTCAGTAATAACTCCAAAGAATGGAAAATAGTGTCATAAGTAGTTATGAAATTCCGCTGGGAAAAAGCTGAGAAAAAATTAAAAATTTGATACGAGCTAGCATATATTCTTTTTTTTACTGTTAACTCTGCACGCCTCTTAGTAATAGTTTCTATAAAAAAGGGAAGAAAGTGTCTTAAGTGGTTATAAATTTCCGGATCATACGCTAAAAGAAAGTGGAATTATAGTTATAATGTTATGCAACATTTGCGCATGAAAACTGCATACAAGAACAACGAAATGTTGTAGCTGTAGCTCTAGTTAATGATTGCGTTTATTTTTTCAAACTCAAAAGACTGGACTTGAAATGGCGGAAGCTTCTCAAAGCCAGAAGTGCTTGGCATTGGATGAGCGGAATCGGTCACCTTCCATGACAGATTCAGGGTTGGCGAACTGTTCACAACCAGGCCAGTCCGTCACTGAAAACACCTCTCTATATCCATCACCACGTTTTTCGAAGATTCCTTCAGAGCTCGTGACTATAGAAAAAGTCTTTGGTCAAACTCAAAAGACTGGACTTGAAATAGCGGAAGCTTCTCAAAGCCAGTATATGGCATTGGATGAGCGGAATCGGTCACCTTCCATGACAGATGCAGGGCGGGCGACCTGTCCACAACCGGGCCAGTCTGGCACTGAATACGCCTCCCTATTTTCATCACCACGCTGTTGGGAGATTCCCGCAGAGCTTGTGACGATAGAAAAGGTCGTTGGTGAAGGGGCTTTTAGTCAGGTTGCCAGGGCAACAGTCATAGGCCTCCAGGGAAGACCAAAGAAGACGCTTGTGGTTGTTAAGATGTTGAAAGGTATCAAGTACTTCAAATAATTAGATGTGTTTCAGTGAAATTTCGAAGTTAACACTCCCCTCGAAAGAAGTAACCTCAAGCAGGTAGCATCAAAAAAATTCCGCCTTCTTCTCGATCCTGACGGTAGCAAAGCAAGCCCAGTCTCTCTCCCTAAATATGGAGGGGAAGGTTCGTTTAGTAGTATATCTATTCTTCAATCAGTATTCAACTAAACGTGACCTCAGTTAATAGATCAGGGTCGTGAGACAATTTGAAACCAGGTATTAACCATGAATGAGTTGACCAGTCCTGTGTACTCGAAACACGACAAGCGTCTCACGTGGCCTCAACATGAAACTTGAACGTTCGTTGTCAGCTGGTTCAGCACCCTCTGATATCAGAAGTCGTAAAATTTTCCTCCAAGTTAATCGGAAGAACTACTTTTTTTCCGCAAGAACTTATCAACACAAACGTTTTTAAGTAAAAAAGTAAATTATTGTCAACAATCAACTCTCCTCCCTCCCTCTATTCAAAGGTAGCAAACCTCAAAAACTGCTTTTTCCGAATTCAAATTGACATAAGGGTCGTCCCTTTCGACATGAAACGTCAGTGGGAAAAGAAAAATCCATGTTTCTGCTGAGAGTATGCCACTTAGCAATTGCTTTGCAGAAGTCTTATTTTAATTAAATTAAGTATCGTTAAAGCATGGTCATACTGGTACAGCAGTGGAATGAAGGGTTTTGTCATTGTATATGTCGACTGAGAACTGTGTTTAAAATTATATTTACTTGTAGAGTGTAAACGAAGTGTTATGGTCTCAGTTAGGTCGGTCTCATTGAGCTTTACACGTGAGCCCCAAAGATAAACTTGTTTAAGATATTTCATAACATTATGACTATTTCACGACCTTATGATTTTGAATAAGATGTTCAATCACCAAGCAAAACAGAGCTCAGAGTCAGAAGGGAAATTTGCAACTTAATTCGATTCAGCAAGAGAACGTCAACTGACATCCTCTTGAGTTCAGCTACTGCTGTTGTTTGTAAAGGTAACAGCTGTTGGGTGATCGTCTTGCAGATGACGCTTCTGAGTCGGACAGGAAGGACTTGATGTCCGAACTTCGATTGATGAAGAAACTCGATGCTCATCCTCATGTCACTGAACTTCTGGGATGTGTCACGAAATCTGGTATATGTGGAAAAATATACTTTAAAAGCCCAAACAATTATTTTCATCATTTTCCAGCAGATCTCTTGCATAGTATAAACATATTTCATGTTTCTCATGCTCCACAGAGCCATTGATGGCGTTGATTGAATACATTCCCTATGGAGATTTATTGGGATACCTCAGAAAGAGCCGTGGATTGAATGATACTTACTTCGAAGACCCGGATATCAAACCACAAACAAATCTGACGTCAGAGCAGCTTATGAAGTTTGCGTGGCAAGTTGCCGATGGAATGTCGTATTTGTCATCGATACCAGTAAGCAGGAACGTTATCTACTTACTGAAATGTTACTTTGACGCATGTTGCTGAAATCGGACATTGGTCCCGACTTTTTTCTTTTCATTAAATTCGTCTGGATCCCCCTTAATTCGTTTCAACATTAAAGATTTGATTTTATTTGTCGTAGATTATCCATCGAGACCTTGCAGCTCGTAATGTGTTCGTTGGAGCGGGGGAAACGTGTAAAGTGACAGACTTTGGTATGGCCAGAGATGTCCTAGATGATAACATTTATCAAATGCGGTCAAAGGTACTTAACTATTTTGAGCCAAAAGTTGGTGTCGAAATTAGCTAGGGAGAGTGTTTGTCTGTATTTTTAGATTTTCAGTTAATCACTGGCTCTGTTTGCTGTTCTCCAACATATCATATTACCGCTAGAATTTGTCAACCAAGGTAGGGATGTGTGATCAGTCTACTACACGCAAAGTTATGACTTTCATTCTTGCTCTTTTCTGCACTTTTGCCGATCAATTCAATGCTTTTCATCAAGGGACGTATCCCTCTGAAGTGGACAGCTTTTGAGGCGCTGCTTTACGGGAAATATTCTACCAAAAGTGACGTGTGAGTACAAGGACCACATTAACATTATTTTTTAAGTTTAATGGGAATAGCCTCTGGGAAAAATTAATGGCTTTCTTCCGTAAGTACCGGCCCGGGATCAGCTCATATGAGTGCGCTTCCCACAACGGCTTACAGAAGATGTTAAAATTGTTTCCAAAGACAAGAACGATTATTTCTCTAAATTTATGCCGTTTGTTCTACAGGTGGAGCTACGGAGTTCTCCTCTATGAGATTTTCACGATTGGTAAGTTAAAGAACTGATGGACAGACCACTAATTTTAGCCTTAAAACTCGTGTTGACCCGCCAAGAAGTCGGTAGGCTCAGCTGGGAAAAAGATGAGCAATGGTGCAGGATGTTTAATGTAAAGCTATATTTACAAATGTTGGAACATTTTTGTAAGGTGTATTTTGAGTAGCTTCTCTATTTCAGGTGGCTCGCCGTATCCAAAGATGGATGGAGGACAAATTTTAACATCGCTAGAAGCGGGATATAGAATGCCTAGACCACAATACTTGGATGATAAGTTGTATGAAAAAAGTTTGTCCTTGTTGTTGCTTCTCTTACGACACCTTTTCTCTTAAAATAGTTTTTTGAAATTAGGGTCTTGAGAATTTTTGGCTGTAGTCAAAATTTAACTGGCTTTACTTGTTGAGCCAGTCTACCAACGGGAAATGTTGGAATGATACGAGTTTGTATCTTGTGATTAGTAATGGTAAAGGGACCGTGTGGATTCGAATCGGTCTGTATTCTTGCGTGTGATAGCGGGAGTCCAGTTCCTCTACTACGGATATGATTACAGACCGAATTGGACGACACGAAGTCTTATTATCAGTTGATCATAAAAATTACAATTTCTGAATTAAAAAACTGACAAAGGAGGCGTGAATTGTTTAATGTCGCTCCGAAATTGTCTACAATTCAAACATAAACATTCGCCATTTGGGAGAAAGCCCAAATTTAGGAGTCTGTACATTGTTTCTATGGTGATTGAAACCAAGTTTGTGATTGGTTGATTTTAAAATACAACTTTGAATGTCTGATGAATGTTTTAAGATAACATAATTGCTGATAACTACTTTGCAAATGAATAAATGGAAAATAGGAGTTTATAAAACCAATCACAATAAAGGAAATTGCAATTTTTTGTGATTAGTAAGAAAAGGACCAAATGGTCCTACTATACCTTTATGGAAAAATCACAACATTTTAGGCCTAATAACGCCCTTACTGATGCCACCAATAAGATGCTGAGATATTCTTGACGTTATTGTTAGGTATGACTTAATGACAAACTGTTGGAAACACGACCCTAACTTGAGACCATCTTTTGAGGATATGAGGAACACACTGAAAGAAATGGAAGACCACCATAAGGTAGAGTTGTAGATTTTTCAAAGGGAATTTCTAAACTTTGATCGTAGTTTGCTCTCGCACATACAAGATACACATTAAGAGTATCGTTAACCTCTAGTTGGCAAATCTTGTGTATTGCCACAGTTCTTTAGAAAATTACAGGAGTTTGGAAGCTACTTTAACTAAATTCTGAGGTAAAAATGACAAATCAGAATTCCATCGATTGTTCTTACATTAGTTCTAAAGTTGTTTTGAAGACACGGAAATGGGATTGATTGTGCATTTCATGAAATTCTCTGAGTCCATCGGCGAAAACCTAACGTAAATACGAAGTCGTATTCAGGTAGTACAAGTGTGCTCCTTTGAACGTTCAGTTCACCTATTTTTAAATATGATTTCACCATTAATATACTCTTTTGGGAGAAAAAAAGAAAAAGCTTTATTGCAAGCTTAAGAGAGTATGCAACACTCTAAACACTTGACTGTTTTTCTTTTTTTTTCAGGGCCTGATAAATTTAGAAAATTACGATGATCGACTCTATGTTAATGTTGACGATCTTGCCGAGTAAGCGATTGCATCCTCATGGAGCACAGGATGGATTGATAAATCTGAGATTTTATGCTTTTTTGGATGAGGTTTTAGTCTTTCATGTGTTAATTAAGCAAGTAAAGAAACAAAAAATAACAGCGACGCGAGGCAAAGTATAACTTTCAAATATTTTTATATGTATTTTTTTTTTACTTTTAGTCTTGAAAAGACAAACAATTCTCTACACAAGTATATTAAAGTGGCTACCCATAATTTTTTCATCAGTGTTATAAATTTTTTTTTTCAGACTAAGTACCTATTTTTGTGTAAAATGTGTCAAAAAATGATTGTTTTTCCAATAAATAACCTATAAGGCGCGATAAATTTTGTAGCCATGTTAGCACGAATGTATTTTTTGCCCATGTGAATAGTTTATTATGAAATTCTCGGCTCCGAATATTGCATTTTTTAGTGTTCTGAATTGTTCAGTTAATTCCGTTTATCAGTTCGTACACCAAAGTACCTTACATGGAAAACAGTCCACGCGAGTGTTGCCAAGCTTAATTTGCTTATAACTGGAAGCGAAAATTTTTCCGGTGCAATAAAAATAAGGTAGACCAAATATAAGTCAATGTCTTATATATATCAGTAATAGATGTAGAAGTCACAAATTTCAAGGTGATACTATTTGGTTAAGGGTACATATCTTTGGAGTACCTTTCCACCTTGTAGAGATCATTAAAAGCTTCTAAGACATCTTTACCTGCTGTGTTGGTGAAGGTGACATCTTATTCAAAGTCCACACTGGTGTCATACTGGGGTGTATCATGTCCACATTGCCTTTCAATTTTGTTGTGGACTGGATCATGCGACGCACCACTAAGGATCAGTTCAGGGGCATAAGATGGAAACCCTTCTCCTACTTGAAAGACCTGGATTTACGCCTTTGCAAAGCAAGTTGGCCTCAACATCAGCAGCAAGAAGATCGAAATTATGGCACTGAATACTATCAACACACGCCCAGTCCAGATTGATCATGAAGAACTTCCTTACACCGACATATTCACCAATCTCGGCAGCATCATCGGAAGAGATAAAAGAACTGACCTGGACATCCAGAGCCGTCTTAACAAGGTCAGAAACTCACTCAAAACAATGAATAAGGTATGGCGCTCCTCTATTTACAGTACTCGCACTAAGCTGAAACTTTATCACAGTTACGACCTGACAACCCTCCTGTACGGCTCAGAACGTTGGCGCTTGACGGAGAAGGATTTATCAAAACTCTCCACATTTCAGACTAAGAGCCTACGCCTTTTCGGGCCCAATATCATCTTAAATAAAGATCTCTTTGAACGGTGTAGACTTGAACCAATGGTTACCATCCTGATGAGGAGATGCTGAAGGTGGATTGGACACGTCACCTTCCCTGAAGCCTCCATAGCAAAAACTGCCCTATACTGGACACCTTAGGGGAAACACAAGAGGTACCGCAAGCCAGAGGACAATCATGAAACGCAAACAATTTAAAAAGTAACAGGTTTAAACAGGTAATCTTGAGGCAAAACAACAGTTTCAGTCATGTGTAAGCTTTAAGGTTTTGTAAAATTTTATTTTCGGGCTTCCTGTCGTGTCAGGTATTCCGCAAATTAGTGCGCTCTCCATTCTTGGGGTTACTTTCTAAGAAGATTTCCGATTTACTACAAATGCAAGAAATAAGCCAATTAAAACTAACAAATGCCTTTTATACAGTACAATTTTTATAATAAGCTCAGTTATGCACGCTTTCTGATTGCTTCTCACTTATAATCTATTGGAGGACAAACGTATAGATGACGTCATCATTAAAACTTTTTATAATTCTTTATTATATAAAACAAATAGATTCCAAGTTGCCGTGCGTCTGTTCAGTAATAGATCACAGAGGACGTCAAAATGTGGTAAGAACATCAGTGATACACTCGGCTGCGCCTCGTATGCCACTTTTTTGTTCTTACCACCTTTTGACGTCATCTGTGATCTATTACTGAACAGACACACGGCAACTTGGAATCTATTTGTTTTATATAATAAAGAATTAAAATATTCTCTAGAGATTTGTATGGTTGAGGGCAGCCTCAAGGCACATGTGTTCTTCTCGAAGTATTGTCCCTTGATAGCTAAGTGCATTATTTTCAGAGTATACACAACAGTGATATATTTGAAGTGAGAGGAGTACAAATTGAGAATATTGAAAATAGGATGGTTTCTCAAAACAGTATGAATGAAATCACAAACTTTAATCTAAGTTGTGCTGTAGCTTTATACTCTCTTTGCTAACTCCAAATGGAAACAAAACAATTGGAGGGTAATAGTACAAAATATGCTGGAGTATACTTCACAGGTTCACGAGAACCACTCTAACAACCTCATAAAATTAATAGTTCATCTGCTAATAAGCTTTGGTAGTGACTTTTTGTTTTCTTTTGGTATTTAAAAAAATAAGTAATTGGTTTTCTTGCATGGGTTAATAGCCATTACCCTAAAACTTGGGGTTGTTTATAATTAAAAGCTTTCTCAGCCTGGAATCTTTTGTTAACCAAGAAAAATAAAACATAAGAAGACAGCCTATTTGGCAAATGGCTCAGCCCACTACAAGTCAAAACTCAAAAAAGGAAAAAAAAATGGAAATAATGTCGAGTAACATTTATTGAAGAAATAGCCATTAATGTATGGCACCAACTCCCCCCACCCCACCCCAGAAAAAGGTCTTTACACTACATGACAAAAGCTGTTTTCAGCTCTCTGTATACATCTGTGAGAAACCTTCATCTCTGGCATAGCAAGACAGAAAACAATAACAGGATAAATCAATAATTGCACAAGAACTTAGGCCCATGTAGGCACAAAGAAAAAAACAAAGTTTCTTTCCAACAGAAAGCCCTAGTGAACGCAAATATGCGTCTAATTGTCATTGAAAATGTGCTTCGCTTTTGTCGGCCGCTACAAACATCCTGGGAAGGAAAGTGTAAAAGAAAGGCCGAGTTGGTTGAGCAAGCGTTTAATTCTCATTCAGTGAAGCTCGCGAAAGTGTCTGAAGAGGAAAGTGAAAATGAAAATCTTATCATGGCCGAATTACTTGCCACAGACGAGGGTGTCTTACCAGACCCAGCATCCATATTGAAATCGAACTGTAGTAGGAACCTCACAATATTTCCAGAGTTCACCTCTCCAGATATATGCAACTATCTTCTGGGAAAGACTGACGAGTACTCTGAAGGAACCTTAAAATCTTTTAAAAGCCTTACGGGTTATAAACTGTTCAAAGATGGACATGTTCTGGACCAGTTCCTCATGGCGTAGAACATTTACCTTTCGGAAGCGTAGTATCAGAACCATTCGTGTTACTTTTCGGTGTTGCCTGTTCCTGGCTGCAAAAGTGCGAGTGATCATGGTTTACTGAAGTCGCATCAGCACTAAAGTCCACGCAAGTCTCTATGGAGTCCTCAACATCGAGCTTTCTGGGACAAACTTTCTTGGCTTGCGGTTGCTCATCACACTGTCTCTTCTTATCGGCAAGACGCTTCGAACGCGAACTAACAGTGTTCGTAGATTTCTTTGGGTCAAAGATAGTCGGATAGCAGTCAGAACGTACACTTTTTCAACCAGAAATTGAAATCTCGATGTCACTTTCCTTAAAATGTAATGAACAGATTTTTGGATCGCCGAGTGTCTTGAATCTTTATCTGCTCGCTTATAGAAAACTTCCCACTACTTACGCTCATTGGGCCTTGTAGGAAAGCAAAAATAACTGAGATCCGGTCTTTTCTTACTCCCACTACGACAAAGAGCAATAGCACAATACTTGACCACGGTACACGCAAAAATAAACTATAATGGACCCCAAAAAACGCCGAGAATTCCTGATTTATCAAACGTAGATGGCTTTCCTTGCAGTGTTTGCGGTGGTGTGTTTGTTTTCATTATTCGCGCCGTATTCCCCGGAGCCTCGCTTCGGTGTTGGAGTTTCGTCACCAGTCTGTCACGCTGAAATTTTGTTGTCTCAAATATCGTTGTTCAACATTGACATCTCATTTCCATCTACATCTACTTTTATTACGTTGGTAAAATCTGTACGTTTACACTAGACTGTTGCTCCCTAAATTTCCTGAAAGTAATGCAATGTTATGTTTACATTTATCGCACAAAGATCAAAGTGATATGCCTGAATATGAGAGTAGCAATGTGTTCTCTCTCCAGAGTGAGCAATGGAAACATGATTTAGGTGAGTAGACTTAAAATGACATGTAAATATGAATGTTATGAATCTCTTCATTCATTGTTTTGATTTTTACATAGCTGAATATGTCTCTATGAATGCCAGCCTGCACTCAAAATTTCATCCTTTACACCCAAACATCACCAGATATATTCTCCCTAGTGTTCTCTAGATATTTTCCAAGGTGCTGATAAGGAGAATTTGTGTAACAATCAAGAACTTCTTAAGTTGGTGATCATTTCCTTTATTCTTCTCATCATAAAGTTTGATCCAGGGATGATGTGGCAGGGGAGAAATTAGATGCTCTATATAGTCAGTCATAGGGGTGAAAGGCTTTAATGAAGATGTACATGGCCATGCGAATGTTGGTCATTTTGCTGACGGTTGTTTTGCAAGTCTCTAGTCAGTTCCCAAATGTGTAGAAGTCAGTTTGCAAATGTTGTCATGTTGCTGTACAAAGAATGCTTTTGAACATTAGATGACCTTTTGTTTTCTTAAAATGTAGCCTTGTTTCGTTTTGATTGCATGATTATAAAACATCCTTTAGCTAGCCACACAAAGAGTTATTTCAGTTTAGTTTCCTTTACATCATAGAAGTATATTAGGCCTTTTTTCACACAAACATTTTAGTTTTAAGGAGTTGTCCCTGGAGTAAAGAGGAGTTTTATGGGAGTCTTTCAGAGTTTTTTTTTTACAACTTGGAGTTCATCCCCGGAGCCAAGATCAGACATAAGTCATGATCACTAGTTGTGTTTTCTGTCGTCAGATTTGTACTTTAGCTTGTTTCCTTAGCTTAGACAGATCGTGCATTCCTTTTAGTTTTCACTGCAAGTGTTGTAACAAGTCGCCTAGCCTGATTACATGATTTAGTCCAATAAACATGTGTAAGAGTCTGCTGTCCGTCCTGTACTTCACTGTGGTTGACCTGGTGGACCCAATTACGCTGCACCCGTGTCTGCCGTGCTGGGAACGCAACAAATGTTATAAACATTTCTATGTGTAGAAGTCAGTTCACGACTTTGTAGATTTGAGATGTCAACATTTGAGTATACAAACTAACTCTCTAGCTTAAGTCATACAGTCTTGTAGTTGATTTCACTCTATCACAGCATTTGCATGTTGCATGTTGCATGTACAGTTGCTGTAATATGCAGATCAATCAACCGATATGAAACAGGTCTTACAGCTTTTGTGTTCTATCAGGAAGCTTTGCTCTTTGTAGGAAAGTCCACAACTACAGAGACATGGGATAAAAATTCCACCATCTTGGGATGAAATATTAACATGTTTGCTAAGTGACATAGGTGAAAGTTTCAATGTCCTTTGCCTTCCATTTCTGGTTCTAGTAGTGCCTCTGGCTCCATCGCTTGCTTTGGCCACAGCAATGTTTTGATGAAGTTGCTGTAATACACAAACATATTTATTGCTTGCAATTAAAATGAAATTACATGCAGGTACATGTGGGCTGTCTGAGTGACAGATTCTGAGCAAAAAGTGACAAGTGCCATCAACTACCATTAACTTAACCAATTCATTTAAATGAAAATATACCTTATTTCATGCAGGGATGTGTAGGCTATCAGAGTGACACCTGCCCCTATAATTACAATTTCAAATCATTATATCAACTTCTATTAATCAAACCGATAACTTTTTCTTAAGATCATTTCCTTCCTTCACTGATTGTCCAGCTTTTGTGAGGGCACAGGTTGAAAAGGCACAACTCCTTGCAGGACCTCCACAAGAACCAGTTTTTCATGAGGAAGAGGAAGATGTTCCTGTTGAAGCAGAAGAACTAATCTAGGATAGAATAACTTTTTCTTAAGATCATTTCCTTCCTTCACTGATTGTCCAGCTTTTGTGAGGGCACAGGTTGAAAAGGCACAACTCCTTGCAGGACCTCCACAAGAACCAGTTTTTCGTGAGGAAGAGGAAGATGTTCCTGTTGAAGCAGAAGAACTAATCTAGGATAGAATAGGAACTAGGATAGGAATATTTCAATCATCACAATGTTTTGTTTTGTTGAAAGGTCTTTTACAGGCAGAAAAAGTGAATAGAAAATTCAACCTTATTTGTCTCAGTGTCTCAGGAATGAGGAACAAAATTAATGTAAAAATATTCATACTCATTGCCTAAAGTTAATATGTCCTCATCACAAGGTACTATATGAACAAGCAGCATGAAAATTATTAATTTTTATTTCTCAAAAGCTTTCAAATTAATGTTATTGAAATAACAGGAATCAATAAATAATCCCTTTACTGCCCTCTCTAGATCATGGACTGATCCATCTTTTGATATATGACAAAGTGTATCAGTCACACAAATCACACAGATTATGTAAAATGAAATCATTTATCTTGATTTCATGACTTATCTTTGTCATTTATATGTCAAACAATAAGATTTATAAAGAAAGATCACAATATTTCCAGTTAAGTTTGATTGTAATTCTTGGTTTAGTTATGGTTATTTCTATCATCCTGAATGAGCATGAATTCTAGTGTGCTACACTGGACAATACTTTAGACTTGAATATTTCTTCAAGCTAGGCCAGTCAGGTCATGGTACAAAGAGCAAAGTCAGAAAAAGCAAACTATAGCTGACCACATACTAATCCATAAATTTTATTAATAGCTTTTTATGTTCATGATGTCTTTAATGCAACAGTTTCCTTGTTTAGACTTATACATATGTAGATGTTATTGACACATATTATTTAAAAAAATTCCAGTGCTTACAACAGTTTCGATGTGCAGTAACACACAACCAACATTTCATATACATTTAAATGATCTGGAAGTACATTTATGTAGTTACTTGTTTAATGGACACACTGCTTCACATGTCTGCTTAACACAGCTTCAGGGAATAGAAGTAGAATGCATTGTACATTTATGTTGTATATGTAACAAATGCTCTGTTTGTTTTGTGTCGACAAAATTAAATACACAACTACAGAGTGCATAGATGTTGTCATTAGAATCTTAAACATTTCATTGATACAAAATGTTATATGAATGTTATTTGAACTGATGTTGATTTTTGTCTCTGCATTTTAGTGCTAAAATGTGCAAAAGGATTATGTATCTGCTGGTGAGTATCATGCTCATAACTTTGTGTGAATTAGCCCAACAAAGTTTTAAAATGGTATGTTTGAAGTAAAATATTTATTTGATGCAAAACACCATTAGACAGCTTAAACGATTTCTTAAGGTTGACATCTATTGTATTATTCATTGCAACAGTGCTTCAAATAGATGCTTATAATGGGTTTTTTCATTAATGGTATTTTTTGATAGACATACATTTTAATTTGCAGTCTTTGTTGCATTCACAGAAAGCAACATAATTTGAATATTCAAAGCAGAAACAATATCATCATGATTCAGGAAGGAATGTGGTAGCTTAATTATTTTTAACCACCAGCTTGTTTAACCCTTTTACTCCCATGTGTGACCAGGACAGAATTTCTCCTTACAATATCAATAGAATATCAAGAAAATGAGTGATGAGAATAAAGAAAATTATCAGTTAGAGTATTATAAATTTATCCAATATCAAATTCTCCAAACTAACATCACAAGAACTGTATGGCAGACAGTAAGGAGAATTAAGAATGAGATCTTGGGAGTTAAAGAGTCAATTAATGTAACAATTTATTTAGGTGACACAGATCTGAAGCTTGTAGCATGTGTATGACTTTAAGGTGTTTAGATATTTCATTTTGATATTGTATATATTGATTTATAACGATATGCCACCTGAGTTGTATTATAACTGTTACAATAATCCATAATTCCCTTCAAAGTCCTGAGTATTAACTCAAAAACTAATGTGTGTATCAAGTTTTCTCTGAAGTATTTCTCTTGTGATTGAGGAGTTTAATTTCCTATTCTAAAAGTAATTCTAATAGCAATTTCATTGTCATGGATGTTGCAGTGACATGTAAAAATTATCATAAGAAATATAGATTTTTACAGTAAGATGGCTTTTACCACTGCATTTTCTCATTCAATTTCTAATTTCAATTATGAATCAATAAAAGCAACAGTTAAATAACACTAATAGCCACAAACAAATT